GGCTGGGGGTGTCCTCTCCGTGTCCCGTCGGCTGGTCTCAGCGCACAGCCTGGGTCCCACCCCTGCTGACCCAGGCCGCCCCAGAGAAGCGCCACCGGCCCCTCTTTGGGTGGAGCCCCGGGTCGTAATGAGGGCGCCGGGGCTCCCGAGAGGCAGCGACTCCTCAGTCCCTTCAAAGTGCGTCGTGAGGCCGGCCATAAACGGCACGGCTGACACAGCGCTGGTAATCACACCCAAACTGCACTATTACCAGCAGACTCCATCGGCCGGCTTTCCGCCTAATTCCTGCAGCTTCTTCCTCCGAACACCAGTCCTGCGTCCAAGCAAAGAAGGTCTCCCTGTGAAGTGGCTCTCGCTCAGGGAACCCCCCTCCCCCCACCCCACCAGCTGCTCTTGGAAGGAGACTGTTCTGAAATGCTGATCGGAAACCAGACTCAAGCCGCCAGAGAAGAGACGGGCAACGGGGGGACTTCGGCCCCGGTCCAACTGAACGGTCTACCCGAGCAGGGACATCCCTCGTCCAACCGAACCCCCTGACGGAGGTCGGGGCAGAAATGCCCCTTCTGCACGTGCTGAGTCCGCACCTTTCCACACGGGTGCGAGCACTTCCATCCTCACCTCCTTTATTATCATAAAAAGTGAGACGTCCTTTTCTACCGCTGAGCGGGAAGAATGCTGTGTCCGTGTGCGTAAGGATCCATCTCCAGGAGTCTGGCTCCCACGGCGGCTAATTAGGAAGGAGCTAGGAGCTCCGGCTCCGAACGCAGAGACCTGGTTTCCGGCTCCGTCCGGCCGCAGGTGCGCGGCCGCCAGGCCGGGGGCCTCTCCGTCCAGCCCGCCCGTCTGTCAATCAGAGCTGATGGCAGGACCCGCGGGGCATGTGGCGAGGGCTCGTTAGGCCAGCGCCTGCCACGGTGTGAACGCTCCATCCATGCTGCGTGTTGTTATAATTGCTACCAAGGGGTGCTGTGAAACAGGACGCAAACTGTTGATTTTTTTTTTCCTCCTGAGTTCCACTCTGTTTGGCCCCTAACGGCAAACTCCATCCGGTGGTTTTCCTCTTCTGTTAACTCCACCAAAAACAGAAAGAGATACATGGACCCTTAGCAGCAAAAAAATGGCCGACCGAAATAACCCCCTCCTTGGCGCATCCAGCATGTACGTTCTGTGCTTTTTCTAAAGCAGAGAAATTGCGTGTCAGCAATTGGTAGGGGACATTATCTCGTGGTGACGAAGGGAGGTCATTAGCAGACCGGTACTCGAAATGAAAGCCACCTGCTTTCACCCGGGGAACTCTGGAAAATAACCCTCCATTTCCCCGGCAAATGGGCAAGGAGAAAGATTTCAATAATGGGGAGCATTACAAACCCTTTTTCACGTTCTCTGCTTGTCTAACTTGGCACCTGGCGCCTGCCACGCATCTCTCAGACGGTGAGAGGAGGGACCCACTCATCCGTGGGGCCCCGCCGCACAGCCCGGAGGCTGTGGGGAGGATATTTCTCTTCGCCACCTGGTTCTCGCCACACTGAGTCAGCATTTCCAGGAGCTCAGTGGCCACTTGGAAAGGTATCACCTTCTGACGATGGGGCGGCAGCAACTGTGAAATCCTAACCCGTCGGCAGAGAGGCGAAAAGGTGAAGGTCAGAGAATGATGCTCCTACAACCTCCCCCAAAAGTTCCCATGTACATAGATCTAAAACTAAATGTGTAAGTATACCCATATAAATGAATATGTACGTGTGCATATGCGTGATATTCCATCACGCATGGGCTCCTCTGCAGAGGGAAAGAACAGCAGACCCCAGCGCATCCGCCGAGTCCCCTGACGGAGAGCCCCGCCCGTCCCGGGGCCCCAGGACCGAAAGGGGCGGAGACAGGAGGACGCTGGTACTAGCCCGGGGCCTGCTATTCTCTTCCGTATTCAACCCGGGGAGTAGTGAGCAACGCCCAGACTTCCCAATGTTTAGGTGGCCCAGGACTCAGTTCTAGGAGTCCCTGGCTTTCTCGGAAATCTTACCCACATCTGTGGAGAAAAATACCAAGTCCCAATTCATGTCTTCCAACCCAGACCTCTCTGAGCTCCGACTGCTAGACCCAGATCTCTTCCCCATGTCACTACCTGATTGATCCAAAGTTAAGGCACCCACCTCCGACCTCCTCTCTTCTCTCCCAGATTCCTGTCCAGCCGACTGTGGTTGCAGTTGTCCAGTTAGTCAGGTCACGGTCACTGGAATCACCTTTGACACCGCGTTGTCTCCCACCTCATATGTAAAATCTATCAGCAAACCCTAGCCGCTCTCCCTCTGAAACATCTCCAGAATCCAACCCCTTCTCGCCCTGCTACTGGCAACCGCCCCGGATCAAGCCACCTCCTTCTGGATGAGCACGGCCGACCCCCAGGCTTGTCCACTTTCGGGGCAGCAGCCCACGTCCGTCACTGCTTACGCTGCAAGTCACGGCACGTGACTCCCTCCTCTGCTCCCCGAAGGCCTTCCGGCGCCCGAGGCCAGCGACCCTGCGGCCACCGCCAGGCTCTGACGCCACTTCACCCCACCAGTCTTTGTGTTCACCTCCCCCGCCTCTGAAGCAGCCCCCCCAAAACCCGCCGAGGCCCCCTCATTCCCTTCAGGCCTCTGCTGCAGGGACACTTTACCGGAGAGACGCTCGGGACCACGCTGTGCAAGTCAGCGCCCCTCCCCAGCCGCTGTCTTCCCCCCGCCCCTCCATCTTCTGTTGTGGTCTCATTCTACTTTCTTCATGGAAGTATGTTTCTTCGTAATCCAGTGCAGGCGTACGTGTAGACACTCATTTGTTTATTGAATGTATGTTTTTGTAGACGTACACACACATTTGCAGGAGAGCTGGCAAACTCTAGCCCAGGGTCGAACCTCGCCCTGGCCTGTTTTTGGACAGCCGTGAGCTAAAACTGGTGTTTATGTGAGGAAAAGGTTATAAAAGGGAAAAATTAAAAAAGAAGACTACATATGCAACAGAAACCGAACACAGCTTGCAAAGCCGACGGCACTCGCATCCGGCCCCTCCCAGGGAAGGTTGTCCCCCCCGCCGGGAGGGAAACGCCCTGTGCTCCGCCGGGTCCCCCACACGTGGACAGCGCCGGGTGCAGAGGCGATGCCGAAATTTGTGAGTGAACGAACGAATGAGCGAATGAGGACAATGAGGCTCAGCGAGCGCTGGTGACCTGTCTGGGGTCCCCTAGGAAAGTGGCAGACGGACTGGGATTCAAACCCGGGTCCACCGGGTTCTACCGCTGGAGCCTGAGGCGCGGGAGCTGCTGGCAGCAACGACTTGACCTTCCTTGCGTTCCACCCAGGGGTTCTGCGGGACACGGTCTCCGGCACGCGGGGAGGGAGACACAGGGTGCCGCAGAAAACCTTCAGCGCCGACCCCGTGACGACACTCACATCCGACGTCGACCACACTCCGCGTGCGTTCACGCACGTCACGTCTCCTTGGCTTCACCGACTTTCTGAGTAGAGTAAGGCAGGCCCTGTACGCTCTCTGCGCACCCTGCGAAAGCGAGAGGCGGGGAGGCTCCAGGCACCGGCTCTCCCGAAGAGCCAGGGGCAGAAACAGAATAATCCGGATTTGTCACTCAGGCCAAAGAACTTTCCACTCTAGCAGCCAACACATGTTCCCACAGCTCTGTTGTTGATGCGTCGCCATGGATACAAGGGATTTTAATAGAATGGCAGTCACACCTCGGCAGCTCCTCAGAAGCCAGGGGTGCTGCTTGATATTTGCAGGAGGAAAACCTCCTCCCCTGGGAACGGGCACCCGCCAGGGACCAGCGGTGGCCGCAGTCAGAACTTGGAAACCGGAGCAACAGGCGGGAGAATCGTCGAGAGTGAGAATCCAGGGACGTGGGTGGTGTGACAACCACACAGGGCCTTCGAGCTGTGCCAGGTCCGTGAGCGTCTCCAAGAAGGAAGCCAAGAAAACCAACAAACCCCTTTGCCGACACTCATGAGCACAGCTGTCGCCTCCAGGCCCAGCTGCCGCCTCTCGTCGGCCGTCCTCCCGGGCAGCCGGCTGGAGAGCTTACGAGCGTTTGGCCCAGAAACGCCGAGGGTGTCACAGCTGCTGGGGGCCGGCCTGGCTACGGACACAGGTGCCGGCGTCTGTAGGTCTTTACACGGGACGCCTGTCACGATGCCGCACCCGGCAGTGAGCTTGAATCTGGCACTGATGCAGCTGTGCACTGGTCAGGAGACCCACTCGGGATGTTTGGGACGGTCCCATTTCAGACGTCTGTGTCTCTGTGTCCCAGTAGGTTCCCTTACCCTTTCCTGGGTCACGTGGGCCCATCTCCCCCAGCATTTATTTTTTTTGTCAGCAACAGCAGCTGAGGCCACCGTCCGAGAGTCTGTCCACTCACGGCTCGTCTCTTCGCCCCACTCGCTGTCACGCGGCACCACGCGTTGGAAGCTGTGCATCTAAAACCAAGTGTCGTTCTCGGTGTGAGGACATGCAGGGTCTTTAGGTGTTAAATAGCTGCGACTGTTAAGTCAAGTATAATAACTAAGATGTTTGATTGGCTAGAAAAAATTATCTCGATTTTCCTGAATGGTTTACATGGAGACTTGGGTAGGGAATGTTGGTGAACTACAGATGCACCATTCTTATGGGTTCAACTTTAAATGTACGTCTCTCTATAAAAGAAATTTCTCGGTTTCATTTGGAAGGAACAGGAGGCATCGCAGTGAAGAAAATGGGGCAGGGGTCAAATACTTCTCCCAAGAATTCCTTTTACCCCCTAAATTTTTTTTTAACTTGAATAGAAAATTGTTAAATCAAAGTCAGGCGCTGGGCACCTTCTGTGCACTCGGTGTGAGGTGTGGTGTGGCGCTGCAGCCCCAGAAGGCGCAGGAACACTCACGGGCGATATTCCAAGGGAAGTTCAGACAAAGGGAAGATATATCTGAGAACTCTGACATGCGCATTGCCTTAAGCAATAAAAAAGTGTCTCTTTCTGTTGTCAGACTTGAGGGAGAGATCCAAGATCTTGAAAAGGCTGAACTGCAAATCTCCACTAATGAAGAGGCAATTTTAAAGAAACTGAAATCGATTGAGAGGACGACAGAAGACATAATAAGGGTGAGCAGTGGCCAATCTCAAAATCATGATTTCCCCTCGAAGTGAGTCCACGCATAGTACATAATTCTTCAAAGTAGAGCCACATTTAGAATCTATGTTTTCAACTGTATTAACGTAAAGAATTCTTTTTTCTTATAGTCTGTGAAAGTGGAAAAGGAAGAAACGACCAGAGGTATGTTTTTGAGCATTCTACTCTATGTCTAGTGACATAGTATTTTTGATAAGCCCACTGAAATTTTTCCATTGTTATACATATATCCTAGATGTCTTCTGAATGAGTATTAATTTTACAGAGTCGATTGAAGACATCTATGCTAACATCCCCGACCTTCCGAAGTCCTACGTACCTTCCAGACTGAGGAAAGAAAGAAACGATGGAATAGAAGATGATGAACAAGATAGAAAAGGTACCTGGGTAATCCGTCTCCAAAGGCAGGTTCTCAAATTCAGACTCTACCACTGACCAATATCAGCAACTTGCTGTGACACCCTGAGCCTCCAGGGTAAGCGGTGGTCCGGTCTGCAAACTCCCCGGAGGTGTATGAGCCAGCAGCAGAGGCAGGGACAACCTCCGTGCCGTGAAAACAGAGGAACTCTCCTCTGTGGTTTCACCTGCGCAGCGAGGGGGCAACTTAATAAAACGTGTGCCCAGTGCTAGACCTTTACCAGCGGTGAGGCACACGCCGCCCTAACCAAAGAGAAGGTCAAATTCCTCCCGCCGAGTCACGTAAAAGAGTGGAAATCTGTCTCGTTGGGTTTATTCATGACAGAGAACATATCTTTGGGTCTGCAGTGAAACCATCCGCTTCTCTTCTCCAGTCCTCCCCATTTCCCTCTGATTTCAGACATCCTGACCTAAACACCCACATCACTGCAGTACTGCTCACTACATAGCTCACGAATAGAATCAGAAATTAAAAACTAGACCTCTCCCATGAAAACCATCAAAGGGAACTTAATATTTAAAAAAGAGCCCTGGCTGGTATGGCTTAATGGATGAGCACCAGCCTGCGAACCAAAGGGTCACCGGTTCAATTCCCAGTCAGGGCACATGCCTGGGTTGCTGGCCAGGTCCCCAATAGGGGGCGCTCGAGAGAAAAAAAACCACACATGAATGTTTCCCTCTTTCTCCCTCCTTTCCCCCTCTCTAAAAATAAATAAATAACATCTTTTTAAAGTACTTTTAAAAACAAACCCTGTGAAAACAGGCTAGTTCACAAGAGTAAACGTTAACTGAAATCAAAGATCAAATGTGTCTCCCAACAGCTTTGTACGCCATGGAGATCAAAGTCAAAAAGGACCTGAAGACCGGAGAAAGCACGGTCCTGTCGTCCATCCCCCTGCCGTCCGACGACTTCCGAGGCGCGGGAGTCAAGGTGTACGACGACGGGCGGAAGTCGGTGTACGCGGTGGGCGCCGGCCCCCAGGCCGCGGTCAACGGCACCGCCGGCCTGGCGCCCGTGGAGGTGGAGGAGCTCTTGAGACAGGCCTCGGAGAGGAGCTCCAGATCCCCGACCGAGTACCACGAGCCCGTCTTCGCCAACCCCTTCTGCAGGCCCACGACTCCGCAGCGAGAGCAAGCAGCCCCCGGACCAAACTTCCAAGACAGGGTCAAGACGAAAGTGAACGGACTGGGGAACGAGAGGGGCGCGCCCCTGCCCCGCGCGGACAACGGCCTCGCCGCGGAGGACGGAGGCCCGGGCTGGCACCACGCCGGCCCCGCTCGGCCAGTCCCTCACCCCCGGTCCATGTCTCAGCGCGGCCAGGAGACGCCCCCCCACCCTCTCCAGAAGAGGCTGGCGACCCCCTGGGAAGAGTCGGACGGGATGCAGGACGGGGGCGCACCTGCTCCGAAGGCGAGACTGAGTCCCAGAGAAGCCCCGGCTGGGGAGTGGGAACGCCAGGGCCCCTCGCCAGCTTGCCAGGGGTACGAGGAAGACGTCAGATACAATATCGTCCATTCCCTGCCTGCGGACATGGATGGGGCAGAGCCCGTGACGATGATTTTCATGGGGTACCAGCAGGCAGAGGACGAGGAGGAAGAAAAGAGGCTCCTGACGGGGTACGACGGGGTCATCCACGCGGAGCTGGTTGTGATTGACGAGGAGGAGGAGGGGGAGGGAGAGGAGGAGAAGCCACCCCCCCGCCCCGCCGCCCCCCACAGCCAGGGCGAGCAGCCCGCCAAACCGACGCCGCTCCCTAGAAAGAGAGCAGAAGCCAACCCCCGTGAGGACGCGCACCATCCACCTCCGCACAAAAACTCCATCTCCCGGCAAGAGCAGGAAGAAAGCCTGGGCAGCCCCGCGCACCGGTCTCCGCCGGCCGTCCAGGGCGCGGGGGACGGAACCGAGGACCCGTCCCTGACAGGTAATAAAAACGACAAGGCTTGCCGCTGCTGTCGCGTCATGTGACCGTCTTGCCTTTGGGGTGTCGGCCAGCCCGCCTGCTCTCAGCTTCTCTGACCGCCCTGTAGACTAACCCACACTGAGATTTGTCCTTAACGCTGGTTCCGTTGCCGCTGTGAGTGAGTCAGTCAATTCAAACCATAAGGAAAAACTAGTTTTTTAACGGTTGCCTTATTTGGGTATTGCATTGACTGACATTAGCAGCATGGCATTCGTCTTCTAACATAGTGACGTGCTGTGTCGGGAAATATGTGGATTGCTAATAAGTTGGGTCATAAGTATCGTATCTTTTCCCTCCAGAACTGGATGCCGGCCTCTCTGTGACTTAAACTTCCTACATACGCTAACAAATGGCCTTACTTTTGCAAGAAAGAACATGACACAAATCTTATTTTCGGTGTAATATTTTGTTACTTGGCTATATCTTGTTTTTCTCTACTTGCCTAGTTTTATTATTTCCTTTACTTTTCTATATTTTAAAATAGAATGTCAATTTACCTATCGAACACTATCGATAACATTTTATTTTGCATAGTCTTCCCGAACTCAGCACATTTATATTTTCTATATATTGGCATTTCTCATGCTCTATAAAGTTTTATAGCTATCTATCTTTCTTAGCATTGAATGGACAATAACACTTTTTTCTACAAAAGTGATCATTCTTCCATTTTGGAGTCCTTGTTAGTACCAGAATAGTGCATTCCACTCATTATTGATAAAGACTAAGTAAGACTCTGACCTATCAGCTGTAAAAGGTGTACTCTTAAGACATAGGCTACCCAGACATCCAGGCAACATGAAAGGGACAGTCACTTTAAATGTCTCTAACAGAGGAATTCTCACTGAAAAGCAACACCTTGCGTCCCAGCGAGGCGGGCAAGCAGAACTCGACAATTCTGCAGACGTGTGCTGCTCCGGTACCGATCCGGAAGGTGCCCCCCTCTGCACCCAAGAAACCTGGTCTCTGTTCGCCGAAACTACAATCAAATGGATCCATTCCCATCTTTTACGGAGTTAAATGAGGCTTACCGATCATGAACTTAGTTATCGGAAGAATTTCTAGCCTCCGGGTGAGCCGACACTTACATCACCTTCCGACACCGAGTTGAATGGTGTGTCCCCTCCAAGGAACCTGCTAAGACGAAACGTCCCCTTCTGCTCTGAGAATGAGCTCTGTTTGCTCAGCAAACTTCACGCCTTAAATTCAGAAGACTTAGGGGAGCGCACTGTGTGAGGTCGAGAGCGGTGACAGCACCCCACCCCAAAACCTCCCAATGGTGAACTTGGGCGGCAGCTCCTGCTGCACACACCCTGGTCCCCTCACCCCCACCGGGTCAACACGCTGACCTCATAGAAAAAGACAGGAAGTGAGTAACAGCGTTTCCAGAAAACACTAATTATGCCGCCGAATGGAAATAGTGAAAACAGGAAGACGCCTTCCAGACAAAGTAACAATGCAAGGTTCCATGCTATCACACAGAGCATCTCATAAACAGAAAGCTCCAAATGCCTTCCCTGCCCTCCTGAGGCTGTTGTGCACCGCCGTTCTCTAGTTCCATGCGCGGATCGCAGAGCTGATAATACGTGTGCAGCGGGTTGTTAAGTAAGTCCCTCCTATTGGCACGTGCCCTCGGGGGAACACCCGTGGATGGGGACATGCAGCCACCTCTGCACCTTGATTTCACAAGCACCAAGTAGAGCCAGCTGCTCCCCTCCAGCCCCCCAAAATGCTATTGTCAGTACTTAAAAATCCACCACTTCAGTCAGTTCCTTTATTTATGGAATGGGTCCCCTGCTAAATACAAATACTTCTGGAAGGTGCAGTAGTTCAGAACTGGTTTTCTGTGAGTGTAAATGCTGTTATGAAAGCTTTAGCTAGCGGCAGTTCTTAACTTGGCAAAGAGCGTGAAAGAGGGAGAAAGATGGGAAAGGTGGAGGCTCGAGAACCTACAGGTAATATTTTTCAGGCAAAACTTTGAACAGGGCTCGCCACGGCAAGGACATTGAGGCAACGCCGTGTCTACCTGCTGATGGAAACAGGAAGAGCCGTGATCGGGGGACAGTTCAAAGCCAGCACTCCCCACCTCGAGCGCCCCCTGCAGGCTTTTACTGGGACTTCTCTTTGGCCCGCCCCGCCCCCAACCAGAGGGTGGGCCTCCTCCGCACCCTCGCCCACTTACCCTGGTGCTCCTTCTGCTCCGCTCCCCCTCTTCGAGGCGCCAATGACATGTCAGGAGGGAGAGGCAGGGACCCTCAGCTCCAGGGGCTTCCCAGGCTCTCAGTGCCAATGTTGCCCACCTTGGCAGCCCTAGGAGATGCTGAGAGGGAGGGGGAGGGGCACGCTTTCCTCCCCCGAGTTCCAGCAGCCGGACCAGGAGTCTGCCTGCCGTGGGGAGGGCGGGTGAAGAGCAGAGAAGAGCAGGAAGGAGAAGAAGCGAAACGGGGAGCCCACAGCCGAGGTTTGCAGGTGTGGCCCCTGGAGCCTTCCCATTGCTCTGGCCCCACGCCTGCACTTGATACTCACACCACCGATTTCCGCAGGCACTGGGACAGGAAACGGCACACTCGAGGAGCTGGAGTTCACTGTCCCCTGAAGGAAGGGGACAGAGAGAGTGGGGACTGGGTTGCCCCACTCCCAAGAACGCACCTGCCCAAGATGCCCTTGAAGAAAGTCATTGAATGCCGCGCTGTGTCTGCGATACTCATTTTTTGCATCTTTACAGAGATAGGTTCCCTCTCGTGCTCCACCTGCTTCGGCCCCTCGCTAAGTGTAGCTCTATTTCTACCGTCTTTCTGTGCTGCTAAAGCAACGCTCGCATGGTGCGGTAGAAACCCTTGAGAAGGTCCTTGAAGATGAAACTCTGCACCCCGGCTCTCTTCTTTGCTCTGGGCGGGATAGAGGTACACCCAGCTCTCAGTTTCCCTCCCGTCGTGGAAGGATGGGGTTCGCAGCCGTCCGCACCCAGCACCCCCCAAAAACAGAGAGCACGCTCCTGGTCTGACCCTAAACTCAACGGATGCCCTTGACCCCGCCCACCGGAAGTGACCGTGCCCCTTCGAGTCCCAAGGGGAATGTGACTTTTTTTTTTCACTTGGATGAAAACATCGCGTGTCAGTAGAGCGACAAGAAAAATGATCGTTGTCCCCTTCCAGTGTTGGACCCTCGTTCCCTGTCCTGTTCCTGGACAAGACGTTCTGGGAGATACCGTCATGTCGTTTGTTAGCAGACAATGGATGGCACATGGCTGAGACATGAGAGAACACGCCTTCCCTCTTTTATTCTCATGAAACAAAGCTTTGCAGTCGGAATGTAGCAATCGGTGCCTTGCAAGCTCCTCAGCTCCTGGGACCGTGACAGACGCGGCTGGACTCGGAAGCCCCGACTATCAAAGCCCGAACGTGAGGGGAGTGCCATGAATCCCAAATCGACATTTTTTCAAATCGGTTTCCGCAGCCAGTATATCCTTCGAGGTAGACCATGCTCAAAAATAGATATTTGCTATTTGAAAACACTTCCACCTTGACAAAGACATTTTATGAGTACTCCAACTTCAATTACTGGTTCCCATTGTTTCATTACATAAACTTCCATTTCTGTCTTTCTCTATCCAAGGATGGAGCCCCCAGTTTGAGGAGTTGAAAGATAAGCTAACCGTGAACCCAGTCTGTGTCGGTGCCTGTTTGTAGTGGTGCATAGCTCAGAAATAGGCCCCAGACACAGTCGTGGGCCGGAACGGAATTTCTCTATGGCTCCGAGGGGAATTGTGCACTAACACTAAATTGACTCAATTTATGCCTTGTTCACACTACTAATTTTTCTAATCTTGATAGAAATAGGCTCCTTCTAGTTCTGAACCTACCTCTGCCCTAAGTTAATCATAGCTCATTATTTCTACTGTCTTTTTGTGCCACTAAAACGATGCTTGCATTGCTGGAGAAACTCATCCGAGGTATGTGCCGAACTTTCCTGCCTTCTATGAAATGGCCATTTAGAGTGAACATTAAGGCTTTTTTATAACTGTTTTTTTTTCTTTCGTTTGCAGCTTTAAGAATGAGAATGGCAAAGCTGGGGAAAAAAGTTATCTGAGAGGTGTACCATCTACGTAAACATCCTCTGGAGAAGAAACTAAGAAATGTTTGCAGCTTTCTCTGCTGGATACTTTGTTTTCTTTCTTTCTTTCCGTTCTTTCTTTTTTTTTTTTTTTTTTTTGGAGATCCAAAAAAATGACACCCATATTAAGCCATGTGAATAAGCAGTAGTTATTATTTGTGGAAAAAATTGCAAAAAAAGGTGGGGAGCACAAACACTTAACTTTTCCAGTTACTTGACATGATTCATTGGGGGGAAGCAGTGTATTTTTATTGTATTGATACCAAAGCATTTCTAATAAGAGCTTGTTAAATTTAAGAATAAAGTTATTTAAAATAACTGACTATGGTGTATTCACTGACCCAAGAGAAAGGTCCCAGGAAGCTGCTGCCCCTCATCCCAGAAACACCCACCTTCAACGCTGACACATAAGCACATTCCCCCCCCCCCAACCAATGAGGCTTTGAGACAGGCGCATCCTCCCGCCAAGAGCCAACTCAATGGATCTGGGGGCGACTTCAATTCTGCATACACCCGAAAGCTGTGTGCAGTAATTAGCCTCCTATTTAGGGACTGGGTTTGGAGTATCCTGATAGCGTCCAGGACTTCACAGATGATAACTGGCATGTTTATTCTTGCAACATCACCCTTTCTTCCATTCAGTCCCACGTGACCCCTGGTTCCCTGCCCGATGATGAGCTAAGGTGTTGGACGGAACACTTCGCGTCCAGGGGAAGCGTGGAGGGGGCTCCACACGGTTCCTCCCGAGTGTGGCCCACGCACCAGGGCTACCCCGCTCCAGTCACTGGCAGGGGGTGCCGGGCAGCTGCATTTGAAGTGGACATTAGTTTTCTGGAGGACAAACCACTGGACAAGACCTTAGCCATTATCAGATTCAGGAAATTCTTATCACGGGAGTTCGATGACCATATAGTTGTGTCTGGTGGGGAATCAAAAAATGTGTTTAGATGCTCACAGGAGACACAGAGTACAATACAACACAATTTCTTTTACGTGCGAACCAGATAGCACACGAAGAAGATACACTCCTGGAGACATGCTCTACAGACTTGGAGAACTCTTTCTCCCCTAAACCGGAGGTACGGGACCAGGCAAAATACAATTAAACTGGTAACAAGTTTAGGGCCAGCCAACACCGCGCCCCCGCCCCTCCAGATCTTTCCACCCAAACGCATAATGCAAGCGCAGTCATGAGACCAATATTTGTTTACTGAGGTGAACGCCACATAACAGAAAAATAACCATTTAAAGTGAGCGATTTGGTGGCATTTCTTTCATTCACAGTATTGAGCCGCCACCACCTCTGTCTCCAGAACGGTCTCATCACCCCGACCGACAGGGCACCCCCACCGCGCGGGGCGTGCCTCCCCGCTCCCTCCTCCCCGCACCCCGAGCCCGGCAGCCGGCGCTCTGCTGTCCCCGCGCATCCCCACGGCAGTGGAATCCCATCTGTGCCCCTGCGTGTCCGACTTCGTTCACGTGGCGTGGCGTTGCGAGGGTTCGCCCACAGCACGGCCGCCCCGACGCCTCGCTCCTCGCTGTGGCCGAGGGACTCGCCCCGGCGCACGTGCGCACCGCGGTCAGCTCGTCCGTGGGTCTCCGGACGGGCAGGGGTCTGGTTCCGCCGTCCGGTTACCGCGCATGACAACAGCGTCGCTGCGAGCACCGAGTCTGCCCCGCACTGGCCAGTGGTGGTAAAACAGACACAATGTAACCTTCACCGTGTCCACCGCTCTGCGGTGCACAGTTCGGAGCACGAAGTACACTCCCCGAGGCGTGAGTATCACACCCCCCCGCCGTCGGTCCCCAGGCCCGGCCCCCCTCCCCCCGCCCTGGAAACCCCCCTGCCCCTGGGAACCCCCATGCCCCTTCCTGTCCCTGTGAGCTGGACGAGTCGGGGTGACCCCAATCAATAAAGCCATCCAACAGTTGTCCTTTTGTGTCTGGCTTTTTCACTTAACATCACGTTTTCAGAGTGAACATCAAACCTTTCTATAAAGTAAAAAAACGCACGTTCTACTTGTAAAATCTGCTGAAGTTTAGCGCTCTGATCGAACAGCGACATCGTGGACCCCGGCCACGCAGCACCTGGCGCCGGCTCCCGGCCCTCAGGCCGCACAGGTGAGTGGCTCGCAGACCTGCGGGACGGTCAGCACCGGGAGGGAGCGTGTGGGGACACAGAGCCCTCCGAGGCTCCAAGGACGAGGCTCATCTTGAGCTGGGCAAGGCGGCTTCGGCCAGGCGGAGAGGAACCCGCAGGGCACTGCGGGCGGGAGACCACCAGGGACCTGGCCCAGGGATGCCCCGGCGGGGCTGGGCAAGGAGGCCGAGTCAGGACCCGGAGGGGACCGCGTGGGTGTGGACCGGCTGGGAGCGGAGCTCAGAAGCAGCCACTCTTTCAGTCCCGTCCACAGGGGGGCGCCTTACCCAAGGGCCTCTGTGCTTCCCTCTGCTCCACCGGGCTGGACAGATAAACAGACGCCCACCCAAGCGCCACACAGCCCCCAGAGGTGCCTGGGGGGCATCGGCTGTGTCTGTCTTTTCCCACTGCGCCCTGGCCGGGGCGGAGTGTGCAGCGAAGGGTATCACCGAACACACGTCACTGCCAAAGCCCTGACGACACCATGAGAGCGGGAGAGCGAACGGGTCACTTCCTCAGTGACTTACACTGCAAACCACCTGTGCTCTCACGTGCGCGGTGCCACCGACCAGAAAAATGTAAACAAAAACACCTCCACTGTGAATGCCCCCCCCCCGCCACAGTGTTCTAGAATTTATTTCGCTGTTTTCCCAAAACGTGTATTTTTGTTTTACAGGGGAACCCATCTTTAAGACGCACACGATTTTAAATGCCTGAGATAAAGGCATTTAACTTCACAATCACTCCTATCCAAAGAAATTTGTTTTAAAAAAAAAACTACCCGGATTGTTGATTATAAAACCAGAAAGAAACATTGGGACGAGTGGAAAACAGGCATTTTCAGTTTGGAGATATCAACCACCCACAGGCAGGAGAATCTTAGTTTGGTATTATTGAAAAGGTTTGGTCCTCTGAGATTAAATAATAAAGGTTTCTTTGGACAACTCTCTGTTAATTGATGATATATCAAAACGGTGCCAACAGATGAATCAGTGAAAAAGGAAAACGTAGACTATCTGAGGCTCAGCACTGGAAATCCAGCCAGATCACCCATTTAAAAATGGACAAACACAGGCCTGTCTTCTCCTCCAAAGAGTTCTTCCTTCTCATTTACTGAGAGAAACATATTAGCCATGTAGCCCCTTGTCACTGAAAACTGGAGGAAAATATTTTAACATGCATTGAGTTTTCTATACTAAGAGTATTTTTAACATACATTCAGAAGTTTACACTGCGAGTAGCCTGGACTTAAATCAACAGAACGTGAACACAGAAAATTCACATCTCAGCCCACAGCTGCTTGGGAAACACCAAGATAAGGAAGAAAAACAAACTTCTGTATCATTTTACCCAGCAAAAGATACGGCGTATGTGGCTGAAGCTGTTCTTTATACCCAACAGAAATGAGGTCCTTGGGCTAACCAGAAACTATAACATAATCAGAACACCCAAAGCAATAAAACTTAAAAAATAAAATAAAATAAAATAGGACTCCCTACACTTTTTTTAAAATGCCAAGAATGTCCACTTCTGCTTGTTTCCTTTGCCTAAGACAGTTGTATTCATCTGTTAGGGATGCAGAGGGAAGCTCCAAACTATTGTTACAAATAATCACCGTTAGAAAACAAATCAAATGAGAAAATAACAGTGATCCTTAACTTCAGTGTCTAACCCGTAACCCCGACTCCCCCAGAAAAGGCTCGTTTGGTTTGTTTGTTTCGAATAGAGGATGAGTAGGTGTATTTTAAGGAACACACCATCCCCATGACGTCATCTGGGTACTGACAATGAACCTCAGGACAAGAAAACAAAGCAGAACTTTGGTATTATGGCGCCACCCACTGGCTAGAAGCCCTTATAGCAGGTGTAAGACCCAGCCAAATAGATCAATTCTTGCAACAGCAAAGAATGAAACGCTGATTATTCTCATTCGTTAGCATATTGGGAACTTCCAGCAGAACAGAACCACCCACATCTCATTACCACAAAGAAACAGAGTGATTTAGATGCGTTCGCAAAGGTGAGCTTTATTAATTTCCAAATGCAAGTCTACCATCTCCAAAGGCATCGGACTCCAATCTTGCTGTCAAAACAGCGGACATGTAAAAGTGCCACTTCAGCTCTGCAGCGGAAGACGCACACTTACACTTCATAACTAAGAAAGAAACGATAATATCCGCAAGGTATTTAAACGTTAACCAAACCTGCAGTGGCGTCAGCCCCGTGTCCACCTTCACCAGAAAGGAGAGAAAACAGAGCAAGGGAAGTGTCGAAAAAACACAGTTCCTCAAGAAGTCCCGAAAACGGACGTGTGTCTAAAGCACCCCAGTTCTTGCCTCGTCCGGGACACGTGTCCTCTCCTCTCCTGTTGCCACGGCGCCGCCCCTGGCCTGCAGACGGGCCCTGTTCCCTTCCACAGCCGCTCACACGCTCAACACCTTGTCACGGCAACACCTGAGGGTCCCCTCTCCCGGACCTCCCTCCCCTTCAAGGCCCAGAGCGGCACCTGAAGGCCGCACGGACCCCCCTCTGCAGCCCAGAGGGGCCTGCTGAGCACCGCCTTCTGAAAGCCAGACTTCAGCACGTCTCGAGAGACACGTGCCGCTCCTCCAAGTCGGAGTCCAAGAGTCCGCCCTGCCCCGGGCGGTCGGCATGGCCGGTGTCCCTGTGGCTTCATGTTGGTGACGACCCGGTCGGTGGCGGTGGCGGCGGCGGCGAGGCCTCTGCCCGCTCAGAGGCGGTAGATGGCGGCTAAGAAGATGAGGAGGAAGGTGAGGTTCCCGCAGACGTACACCGCCAGCACCGCCTTTTTGAAAGCGTGGCCCTGAAAGAGAAGTCGACGTGTGTGACGGGAAGAAACCGCCGTCCCCGGGGCTCGTGCCGTCCATCAGCAAGATGACAGGGACTTACTTCTGCGTCCGCTATGGTGAACGGCTCAATGATCTGAATTCTGGTGTCGTCCAGTATTTCAACTGTCGAGGACAAGAGCAGAAGTGAGTAAGGCCGTGGGCGCGCGGGCAAACGCACCGCAACAGCGGCCTGACCTGCCGTGTTCGCCGACCACGTGCTCCCGTTCCAAGCTCCCAGACGCTCGAATCTCTGGACAGTTCCGGCTCTCCCGCACGGGGACAAGCACGTAAAACCCGCCCTCTCGTCCTGGCCCAGGAGCACCGTGTCAAGCTCCTAACAGCACGAGTTCTATGCACAACTCGGGGACCCTCGAAAGCTCTTGCATTCCTATCAGGAACCAAAACCGGCAGGACTAATCGGTTCCTAAAAGCCGCCCAGGCCCCTAAATCCACAGCACAGACACTAGACAACGGAGAGGTTTGGTTCTTAGAAAGCCACCCTTACTTATACTTGGGGTGGAGACAGAGGGGGATGGGGGGGCGCTGAAAAGGACACTTGGCCCAGGATGCAAGCGGGTTAAAAAGATCACGCATTCTCTGCACCTTCCCCACCCGCACAGCTCCAGGCACAGTGCCCAGCCTGGGACTCAGGCCACCCAGACGGCCCCGGCAAAGCCAGGACGTCCAGTCCGGCTCACTGATGAGCTAGCTGTACCCAATGTACCGAATACGAGGCAACGGAAGGGCCAGCCCACAGCACCTGCCCGCGGCTCTGCCCCGTGCCGACATGGGGCATCTCTCCCCCCTCCACCTCAGGGTTCTCTCCCCCCGCATTCGGGGTCCCCTGCACACCAGCTCTGACCCAGACCGGCGCACACGGCAAAGCACTCACAGAGAAGCCTGCTCCCCCCCAAAGCCCACAGTCTCTCCCTTACATTTTACTCCTAATTTCTAATGCAAACAAATATAAAAAAGAAGAGCAGAAAACGCCCATGGTCTTGACCACTGACTGAGTAATCACAACAGAAATGCTGAGCGAGCTACCGGGGAATTGTCATGCATCGGTCTGGAGAGAGGGGTCGTAGTGCACTGGTTCACGTGACCGCGTTTCCGTGTCACGTGGCTTTCCCAGCCGGCTACCTTTCCGAGAGAGTCGGTAAGCGTGTATCTCCAGGACGATCTCGGCCCCAACGTGCCAGGCCACGAACCCCAGCATCGTGTAGGTTTTCCAGGGGCCGGGGAGGCTCAGCCCTGGTAGGTCCATGCCCAGGAACATCGCTGCCACTGCGTGAACAGGAAACCACACACGCTGAAACGTCGTCGCCTCCAGGAGAGGCGACTGGGCGTCTACCTGTGTGTATTACAGCAAGTCGGACATAACTAAAAGAGTTTACCAGATGAATTAAGTTAATACTGAAGACCAAATATTTAATTCACTCTTTGTTTCCCAGTCTTACTGTCAGACTGGCGAGGGTCACATGGGAAATGACGAGTACGCTGCGCCGATTCTTCCAAACGCAGCAGCCGCACGTGGCAGGGAGTCGGCCCAAAGGCAGGGAGACAGGCACGGCCCCCACCCCCACGGAGGGCGGTGCCCTCCTGGCCACAAAGAGCCCCCGGGGATGGGCGTGTGGGGGCGGGTGCCAGCTCCGGCGTGTGTTGCCTGAGGCATCAGACCATGCTGGAAAGTCACCCCTGACCCGTGTGGCCACCCTTCCCTGGAAGGCACCGTCCCACGGAAAGGCCCTGGGGACCGAGGGCCGGGACGCCCCCTCGGCCCCGCTCACAAATGACCCGCAACTGGAGCGGCTTAAATATTTGGCTGCCAACATAGTGTATTCTGCTAAAAAAAATAAAGTCTTCAAAGCAGAGTTTTAAAGTCAATTTGAAAATCTCACGCTTAAAACTGAAATGATGACTGAAACAGTTACCCCTAGAGAGGACGTTCTGGATTTCGATGTTTAAGGCTGGTTTCTCCTCGACAACCAACGACTCCCGTGGCTAAGGCATCCGAGCACCATGGACGCCGAAGGGCGACTGGCAGTCACACCCACGGACGAGCGGCGGCGCGGCTCCTTACCTGCTATGATTCTGGCTGCCGTTCCGATCCCCCAGTGAGTCCAGTTAAACAGGTGCCTTCTACCAAGACAAAGAAGCAGTCAGGGTCCTTGGAAGTGACGGAACCACAACTACTTCCCAAGAGAAGAGAAAGCATGCTATTTCTCTTATTGCCTAGGAACTAGCTATCTGAAATACATGTTAAAGCCTTGCAAGCTGCCCTGGCTGGTGTGGCTCAGTGGACTGAGCGCGGGCCTGCAAACGGAAAGGTCACCTGTTCAGTTCCCAGTCAGGACTCATGCCTGGTTTGCAGGCCAGGTCCCCAGCAGGGGGCTCATGAGAGGCAACCAGGCATTGATGTTCCTCTCCCTCTCTTTCTCCCCCCTTCCCCTCTCTCTAAACATAAATCAATAAAATCTTTAAAAATAATAATAAAGCCTTTCGAGTAGAGAGAACTTATCACTGAATTTCATAAAATGCGACACGCCTCCCCGGGAGAGGGAGGAGTCTGCCGACCCGTGACCCCGCAGGAAGGGCAGCTCCGCAGACAGGTGCGCCTACCTGGGGTCGTGCAGAGGGGGCCGGAAGCCTGCCAGCACGGGCTGCAGAACCGCCAAGGTCATCACGGTGCAGCCCAGGTAGGGGTGACAACCTGCGTGCTACACGGGGGACATCGAGTCACGTGAATGAATGCTCTCGGGTTAAACCCCCAAGTTTAAAACAGTGTTCACGTGTGTGTATTCTTAATGTGGTCTTAGACATGTGACAGTGACGACGATGACGACGACCACGACCACCCACACCAGTCACCGAGCGTCCGCGCTACACCAGGCACACACACCGCACACACGTCACCACCCAGGCTCACTCGGACGCGTCCCACTCGGTGACGGATGACCCGATGTTTTACCGACGGGGGAGCCGAGGCTCAGAGACACCAAGTGACGCCCCCAAGGCCCCGCGGTGCGTACACCGTGGCGGAACCCACGCACAGAAGGCCGCCTGTCTCCCAGCGGGTGACAGATGACCGCCAACACACCTCAGGCGTGCGCAGCCCACCTAGACTGGGGCGTGCCGAGGGCGACCACCGACATATTGTGATGATCTGCTTAGACCCCTGCGCGCCTCTGAACTCACGCGGCAAAAGCCGGAACTGAAATGTCGAATTTGGAGGGTACCAGGAGCACGGGCTCCGACTTTGGCACATGGCTCATCCTGGACAAGCCTCATTCACATACTCAGTAAATACGTTCTAAGCACCTACTACGCCCCAGAATCTGTCCCGGTGCTTAAGCTGCACAGTGGACAAGCACAGGACTTACACACTTGAGTGGGAGGCAGACAAAGGAAAAACCATAACAAACAAACTGTACGGCGTGACACACGGAAAAAAATAGAGCAAGGCAGGGCGCTCTGGGAAGCCGTCTTGAGCAAAGACTCCAAGCAGCTGAGGGTGGAGGACGGGTGACTGAGGCCGTGCATCTTTGCAAAGACCCCAGCAGAGGCCTGCCTGGCGGCCGGCCAACACAGGTAAAAGGGATGATGAGTTCGGGCAGGGGAGTCGGGTTAGGAGTCACTGGGGGCCCAATCATGAAGGTTGTTGGACGGACTTGACCTGGAACTTTGAATAAAACTGAGACATTAGAGAAACCAGTCTGGGGCAGAGACGTGGCATGACCTAATTTACGTTTTTTAAAAATCACGCTGCCATCTTGGCTGCGTGCACAAGGGCTGGCGTGGAGAAACCAGTGAGAGGCACCCACTGCCAACAGCCAGGGCAGCAGGGGGCGACGCTGAGGCCCACAGAGTAGTGTCAGTGATGGACAGCAGGGGGCGGTGCTGAGGCCCACAGAGCAGTATCAGTGATGGGCAGCAGGGGGCAGTGCTGAGGCCCACAGAACAGTGTCAGTGATGGGCAGCAGGGGGCAGTGCTAAGGCCCACAGAACAGTGTCGGTGATGGGCAGCAGGGGGCGGTGCTGAGGCCCACAGAGCAGTGTCAGTGATGGGCAGCAGGGGGCAGTGCTAAGGCCCACAGAACAGTGTCGGTGATGGGCAGCAGGGGGCGGTGCTGAGGCCCACAGAGCAGTGTCAGTGATGGGCAGCAGGGGGCAACGCTGAGGCCCACAGAGTAGTGTCAGTGATGGGCAGCAGGGGTTGGTGCTGAGGCCCACAGAGCAGTGTCGGTGATGGGCAGCAGGGGGCGGTGCTGAGGCCCACAGAGCAGTGTCGGTGATGGGCAGACGCACGGCGTTGTAAATGTAGGTCCAACGGATCTCCAGGCGGCTCTGACACGGGGCGAGGGGCCGAGGGTGCACAGACAGCAGAGTGCAGGACGATTCCAAGGATGCAGCCCAAGAAGGGAGTGCCCACAGCTAACGAGAGGCATCTCCCACAGCTAACGGGAGATGGAGGCCGGCGGGGCGGGATGGGGAGGAAAGGTCAGGAGCCCCAGCCTGGACACGCTGAGTCTGAGACGCGTTAGGCAGGTTCACGTCCCCAGGACGCGGCGGAAGGTGTGAGTCTCCAGCCGGCCGTGAGGTCCAAGCTGGAGACTCAGCCTCAGCTTCTTCATTTGTGACATGGGATCACGGCCGCATCCACGCCCTTCGAGGTTTTCAACTGAACGATAACACTTGGCACAGCCGGTCCCTGATGGGGGCGCACTGAAGGTCAGCTCGGTGGAAGTCACCGCGTTCGCTAGAGGAGACCGCCTGCGGTGTCCGTGCGCCCGAGACAGCAGCACACGCACGCGGAACTCCCACCGCTCCGCGGTCCGAAAACTCCCCACGGCCACCCAGGGCGGACGCAACATCTGATGCGGCCTCAGAACACTTTTCGTCCCTAAGCAGTCTGCGCAGACGCGCGCACTCCACCCCCACCGCCGACCCCCGACCCCAGCCGGGTGAGAGAGCCTGCGGATGATTCACAGAGGAGGAGGGGCGCTGCAGAAACGCCCTTCCGCCCATCCCCTGAGAGTAACACAGCCCTCCTTTGGCTCCTAGGTGGACTTAGGTGGAAAGCCTTCCATGGTTTAAGCGGTGCTTACCCTGCTCCAGCCTCCCCGGTACACGAAGGGCAGGACGAAGGCGATGCCGGTGAGGACGCAGGTGGTGAGCATCAGCGCGCGGTGCACCTGCAAGGGGGGAGTGGCAGGGCGAGAGGACAGTTACCTGTGTCAGAGGGCGGAGCTGGTGATGCCGTGGGGACGAGATCGCGGGAGAGACTCCCTGCAGGTATGCCTCTGATGGACCCCTGGCTGGTGTGGGGTCAGCTAAAAATCTGAGTACCCCACTGAACCTCAAAGACAGCCCTGAGCTCCGCCCTCCGTTTTCCCAAGCGTTTGCCAGGCTCCCCCAGCCCTGGGGCGGCAGGGCGGGGCCTCTCCCAGCCCCCCACACTTTCTTGCCTGCCAGCCCCGCGAACACTGTCTCAATGAGCAGCATTTTTTCTGCAGATGGACATGCATTCCAGCTCAGCATATCCTCATCGACCTCCCACTGTTCGTCAAACATCTCTGCTCTGCGACCCGAGAAAGGTCAGGTTTGTTTCGCTCTGTCTTAAGGCGGCTGATTGGCCCTTGATCAGGTTACTACTGAGAACTAAACCCTCATCCCAAGCAAAGGGGCAAGGTGAAAAGAAATGCATCTCGTTCCCACGCCCACCCACAGGCGGGACAGACAGCCTTGACTGGCGGGTCAGGGTGGTCGGACATTGACTGGTGGACAGCCAGAGGACACACCACTGTGGCCGGGGGCTGGAGGGGGGACAGGGAGCGCCCACCATTTCTCCCGACTGCTCTCCCGCCTTCCTTCACCCTCTGTGCTCGGTGCCGCTGGACCCAGGAGTCAGGACTGTTGGGGTCCCGAAGTCCATGTGACAAGGGACACACGGGCCCTGGCCCCTTCATAAAGCCGTCTCTGTTCTCATCTCTGTCAAGTGCCTTGTGCCCATGCTCAATCGGTTAGGAAACCAAAGGGCAGAAGAGAAGAAACTGGGAGGACTCCAAAGCTACCACAACTGCACCGCAGGCAGAAAAAGGGAAAGGAGCCCAGGGAACTCATCTGTCTTCAGGTTGAGACATACAATAATACGGGAGCTGCACGAAGGCGCTTCCCCCGCCTACCTGAAACCAAGCTGCGTCGCCAAAGACAGGGTGTGACAACACAGGCTTGAAGAACCGGGCGACGATCACCCCGATGCTAACGGCAGCCACCCAGGCCACCAACATCAGGGCGCCTGCAGGAAGGAAGAACCACGGATGGCACCTGGAGCAACCGCGCCGCTCTGGACGACCCGGCCGGACGCGCAGAAAGGATGCACGACCCGCAAAGGACGTTCACTCAACACAAGCAGAACCTCGCACTCCCTGTACGGCACGGCGTCGCCATGTCTGTGGGACGGCGAACCGCCCCCACGCCCGCGCTCCCACTGTGTGCGAGGCGCTGTCTCCAGGAGCTCTCCAGGCAGTAACCTACTCCGCCTTGGCGACAGTCCTGTGAGGTGGACGCAGTGGTCCCTGCTCCAGGACTGTGAGTGGGAAGCTAAGGCACAGAGGGGCTCTCTCCCAGGGTCACAACCTGGGGACTCGACCCAGCCTGGCTGGGGCAGCGGTACTCCTGACATCACGTTGATGTAGCCCTCAGGCACCTGGGACGCGTCCCACATTGCTCTCCAAAAAACAAACACACACACAAACAACAACAAAAAACAACACAAGTACCTCATTTCTGAATCCACTTACTTAGGAACAGGAGCAAATTAACAGTACTAAAGTGTCAAGTTATTTCCAAGCTTAACTATGATAACAGCCATTGAAACTCTATGAGACAAAACTCTGGAGATAATAAATGAAATACACCAAATAAGGAGCGTTCCTCCCAAATATTAATATTTTACAATTGTATAGTACACACTGCGTTATTCCCCTGCGTCTAAGCCCCATCTTTTCAGCAATAGTCGGGGCTACTTCTCAAAGGGAGTCAGCGTCACCTGGAGCGGCAGACCCAGCAGGTCGGGGCCTTGCTCTCAGGCCGCCGCACCCCCCCCCCCGCCGTCTGGTCCCTGTGCCCAGGTGAGTGCCAGACACTGCAGCCCAGACCCAGCGTGTTGAGTGCCCTCAGTCGCTTGTACAGGGCTCACTCTTCAGTAACAAGCCACGTCTTTGAAACCAAGCAACTGTTACAAAATCAAAATCACAAACAGCTCTTTTATTAGCATTTACTATAATAAGTGGCAGAATGAATGTCTCTGAAAAGTTAAGTCCAATAACGCCCTGACATTCAGTTAGAAACAATGAGGACACTTCTCTGAAACGACAGGTGCCCCACTGGTGATTGTACCGAGCAGCCAGGGTGAAAACCACTGCATTAGCCTGGTCTCCGCCTTTAACAAAAACGCGCAAACGTGCAGGGAAGCGCCGACACCTGCAAGGGTCAGCGGCTGCACAGAGAAGGCGCGTGAACGTTTGCCGAATGACGCTCGCCGCCCTTCCTGATCCCGCCGCGCTGACTCGTCCCATAAACTTACCCACAGACTCGGACACGACCACCCGGGGCCTACTCACCGTGGGCCTTCAGAAGGAGCGGAGACTGGGACCCTCCCACGTCCTCCGGGTGGCCCGTCACGTCGTACTTTTCGTACGTGATCAGGGGCTGCTGCGGATGCCTATAAATTTGACCTGAAATTATGAAAAGAAGGGGAAAAAAAGATGGGAACTACTTTCTCAGCAGAGGAAGAGTGGAAAGACAGTGTCACAACATGGAAACAAAAGTGCTTACAATAATAAAAAAGAAATATCAACAGAGACGCTGTTCTTGTATAAATACAACATAAAGATAGATGTAAGGTCACATGATCTCACTGAAAACAAAATTAAAGAAACACCAATAATTTAGCCGACCAAGACATGAATCAAAGTGAGGACGAGGAATGCAGAAATGATGGTGAGAGCCCCACAGACGATGTTTAGTCAAAATAATTACGGTTACTATGATCACAAATCATTAAAAATGTCAAGTATAATTCTGGGAAGAGAATACATTAAAAAAGTAATCTAGACTCCTAGAGTAAACTAGCAGAAATTGGGCCCTGGAGAAAAACAAAGACATTCTGAGGCCAAGTTATTTGGCCTATGGTCAACTTGGACTGGGTTCCACCAATAAGCCAAAAAAAAAAATCCCAAAGGAAAATGATGTAAACAATTTGAGAATAGATTATTATATTAGTATTTATTATGTATACATTTAAATCTGTGAATACACTTATTCCAGTTAGTTTGTATATGTGAGTGTGTATGTGTGTGAGTTCATTCGTTCTGAGAATCTAACCCACAGAAATACTCACCTTTTCCCCAAAGACACATGTGCAAGAATGTTCACAGAAACTTTTTTATGCTAGCCCCCCAAAATTTAAACCAGCTAAATGGATATCATTAGGAGCATTAGTAAATAAATTATGGAACAAACATTATTTTTAGAATATAAGGCAAGTGATGAAAAGAATAAAAATAATTAAGAAATTTTATATAACATATATATGAGTGTTTGTCCCAAACAAAAATACATAGTAGACCACAGATCACATGGTAATAATTTCCAAAAAGAAATATCTTTACAGAAAACAATTATATTATCTATCCAAAATGCAACAAAACTAAAAATTAACAACAAAAGGCTAGGAAAAATGGTCCACCTAGATATTTATAAAACTACTTTTCTAAATAACCCTTGGGTTAAGTAGGAAATCAAAACTAAACCACAAGTCTTCTTAAAAATGAGTGACAATGAAGACACTTCACATCAAAACCCATGTGATGCAATCAGGGTCCTATTCACAAGCTTTATCATCTAAAAGCATTTCCTTAAAAAGAAAAAGAAAAAAGGCTTAAAGCACTGACTGAAGTGGTCATTTAATTCAAGGCGCATTTAAACCAACAAAATGTAACCTAGGAAATCAGAAAGACTGATTAAAACTAAAGGTAGAAATTAACCAACTAATAAGTCTAAGTCTAAAAATCAGAAAAATCAAGTCTATAAAAAGCCGATAAAATCAACTGAGTTTTTGGCAGCTCTGAGCACACGATAAAAAGGAGTATCGCAAACAAGATTAGAAATGACGTCACCACGGCCACCCCACATTTTCCTGGGAGGAGTAAACCACGCAGTGAAAGGAGGAGGAACATGAGGGCTGTTACCCTGGTATCCTCTGCACAAGACACGATATCTACCAGGACAATCCAAGATAATGGTCTAGAAAACTAGGTAGCTACATTCAAGATACACATTCAAAAATCTGTAACTCTCCTGTATGCCAACAAGTTTGGAAAACCTAAGGAAAATAATCCCATTCACAATAGCTTTAGAAACCTATAAAATACCTAGGACCACAGTAACAAAAAATGCATAAACCCTCCATGAAGACACAAGGAAAACCCGAGGATCTGAGTGCACAGAACACCCCAACGTGTTTATTCCGGAACAGGGAGACCCACTGTTTACTGCAAAGCCCTTGATTATCCCCCGAAGGAATCTAAAACTTCATTGCAATTCCAGTCACACCCCCAGCAGGATTTCTAATGGAATTCAACAAATCATTTCTAAAGTTCATCCTAAGAACAGTTATATAACAAAAGCAAGAATTCCTGAATAAGAAGGCCAGGATGCTATCAAAATCCCCAACCCATTATAAAGCGATGGTAATTCAACCAGTGCAGAAACAGAAAAATAGACCAGTGAAAAGATAAGCCAGAAATAGTCGGGTTCACTGATAGGTTTTCAGCGTGAGACTGAAAGTTTTCAAAGCAGTGAGGATAGAAGTTAGGTCACCTGACTGCTCGTTTGGCCAATGCTTTCATCGTATTGTTATAAACTAACAGAGATGACAAGAGCAGAAGCAGAGAACAAGACATTCACGTCATCTGTGCCCAGAGGAGAGAGGAAAGAAGAGACACTGCCAGGAGCTACAGAAGCATCAAGAGAAAAAGGTAAGGGAGACCACTGACAGTGACCAGAAAGCCACTGAAGAACCACGTGGGAAGAAAGTGTTTGCCACCCTGATTCACTGCGGAGCCGTGCACTGAGCACGAGCTGCCTCTTCACCGAGGCAGCACCCCTGACCATGTCCGAGCTCCGCTGGACGGCCCCGTGAGAACGTGACCCTGCCGTCCACGGGAGGGGGGGGCGTGTGTTTGGTGCAAAGCTCTCCGGTACGAGGTGACCCACGGGATTCCTCAATGTTCGAAGCACGGGCCACGTGATAACGGGGTCTCTACTCCGTTCATGATTTAGTCCGGGAGATTTCCCAGTTGTGAACCACTTCTTCACCCAAACAAGTCCTGTCTGCCAGTCGGCTCCGACGCACGGCCTATCTCCGGGCTGCTTCCCGCGCTGCGGGACGGTGTCAGCAATGAGGAGAGGGCTGCGGTTAGTTACAAAGGCGTTCTACGTGTCTCCATCTCCCTGGGGACAGCTCAGATCCGAGGACAGGAAACCGACGAGGAACCGGTTACGCCACAAGAGCCAACACCGCCTGCAACGACCCCCAAGTCACCGCATCTAGCGCTCCTGCAGAGGATCCGGCTACGCTCCGGCACCCGAGGCGGCCGGCCAGAGATACACACGGCTTCCCGCTCGCTCGCAGCCCCAGTGCTGCTTACCCAGTGCTGCCTGCCCGCCAGAAATCTCTCGTGTCCTACGCGTGTCGCCTTATCACACAGGTGACACTACTTTCACCTAGGTTCTAAGGAAACAAAGCTTGAAGGTCGACCAAGGTCCAAATGGAAGGCAAAAATGGGAAAAGGTTCTGATAAATCTTGACCCACGAGTGTGCATATCTTAAAAACGAGCGATTACGGTAGTCTCTCCAAAACCGGGGGTGAGGGGGGAGAAGAGGAACATACCTTGAAAAGACGGTTTTTACCAATAGACAGCACTCACCTTCCTCGGCGGCGCCAGAGGCCAGAAATACGTAGTAGCTCGCGTTCAGGTCGAATCTGTTCTCCGCCCCGGGAAGGGTAATGTTCCGTCTGAACGAGCACTGCATGACGCCGTCCTCCAGCCTCCACGCCATCTCCTCCAGGGCATCCTGCAAACACGCAGAGAGGGGCCCCTCAGCACTTCAGAGTCTGCTAAAAACAAGGTACGGTCGGCATCCCGCCCCGTCCCATTCCCCTTCTCTCAGGTCCCGGGCGCGTGTTTCGTCCGCAGAGTCACTGTTCGCCCACTTCCTGCTGGAGGGGTGCGAGAAACACCGTCTCCTGGTTTACTTGTCTTCGTCCCGCTTGGCAAGAGTATGAGTTTTACTTTGTCGAAACCCCACAGTCCCCCTGCCCAGGCGAGAAACGTAAGACTCCATCTGGCCGCTAACAATCCCGAACACTGCAGACACAATCAGCAAGCAGAACCCTAGTGGCCAGAACGCACCCTGCGGCCAGGGAGAGGTCCCGCCCACCCGTGGGAGTCAACCCACAGGACAGCGGCGTGGGGAACGCGCCCTCTCATTAGGCAACGGCTACTGCTCACCCGGAGCTCACTTGCTGGCCAACTGCCCTTGTAAAAAGGATACGTCCCGCCCTGGCTGGTGTAGCTCAGTGGATTGAGCTCAGGCTGCGAACCAAAGTGTCGCAGGTTCGATTCCCAGTCAGGGCACCTGCCTGGGTTGCAGGCCACGGCCCCCAGCAACCGCACATTGATGTTACTCTCTCTCTCTTTCTCTATCTCCCTCCCTTCCCTCTCTAAAAAAAATAAATAAAACCTTTAAAAAATATATGGCTTATTAAAAAAAAAAGGACACGTCTCTACCAGACATGGGCCGCCTGTGGCACAGATGCCAGCGAGGGCCCGGTGAGACAACTGCCCAGGCCCTGGACCCGGCTCCACCGGACGGGCCCCGCTCTGTCCCAGGGCAAGAAATTCTTGTGTCACTAACACCAACCTCTCCTTAAACATCTGCCTGCGAGCTACTGGAAAGGGCGGACGCTTTGAGTGTCTCAACAAGCCCTGAATCACTTTCTGTGTGATGCAATGAAAAAGATTTAAGTGGCACCAGCAAGGAGTCACCTCTTCCTATAAGAGACACTTGTTCTGTGCTCCCTGAAGCCCAGAAAAGGGGGCGAACTTGCAGTTACGCAGGACGAGTACGCCTAGAGATCTCACGCACGGCGCGGTGACTGTGGCTGGGGAGGCTGCACTGAGTGCTGGGAATTTGGTCAGAGGGTAGATCCCAGGAGCTCTCGCTACAAAAACACGGTAACCACAGGAGGAGATGGGGATGTTCATTAGCTTCAGTGCAGTCAGTATTTCGCTATGTATATGTATATTGACACATCGTGTTGCACACCTCAAATATAAATTTTATACATATTTTATGTATATAAGTTATACATAAATATATATATTTATTTTATACATACGTATATAAAATAAAACAAAGTGCAGAGAAGTTTCTTCCCAGAGTATAAGGGAAGGCCCTGCAGCCAGGGGCTGCTCAGGCTCTGCCACTAACTTGGGTTCGAGGCTACCTTGCCCCACAGACACGTGCCACTGTTAGCCACGTGGCCAGCAGGGGGTGGGCCAGGTGGAGACTCCTAGGAGCGGCACACCTACCCAGGACTCCAGCACGGGGTGGCTCCGCCCCTTCAGGTGGGAGGGCTGGATGCGCACAGTCTGCTCTTCCCGAACACACAGGTAGGCGTCATCGTCCCCCTGGAAAACAGTTGCAGATGGGAAAAGTTTACAGGAATTTCAACATTTTATTCTTTTTAAGTCCTTGATCAAGTCAAATTGTATTTGGTATCTTTAAAACATCATTTACCGACAGTCTTACATGATACTATCAATTCTAGAGAACTGGCTGTCCAATTTATGAATCAGAATGATTTTGTTATCCTGGCTGGCAGAGCTCAGTGGATCGAGCGTGGGCCTGTGAACCAAAGGGTCGCCAGTTCAAACCCCAGTCAGGGCACAGGCCTGAGTTGCTGGCCAGGTCCCCAGTAGGGGGCACATGAGAGGCAAACACATATTGATGTTTCCCTCTCTTTCTCCCTCCCTTCCCCTCTCTCTAAAAATAAATAAATAAAATCTTAAAAAATAAAAAATTATTGTTATATGAAAGCAATATAAATTCAGTATTCATATCAGGCTAAAATAGACATACAACACATTTATGCCCCCATAAACCTGTCACCAATTGAACACGCTATTAATGCTTTCATATGCATTTGTCCAAATCTATTTATATTTATGCCTATTTTTTCTCTCCAAATAACAAAACACACAGTTTTGCTACCTTTTTGAATTTATCAGGAACATTGTTCCGGATATTTGTAAATAACTGTCTGTGCCTTACAAATTTCAGGAGTGTAAGTGCACTGCATTATACTGGGTTTGGGGGGTAACCTTTAAGACGGAAGACAAACATTGCTTAGAAGGTGCACGGTCCAGAGGTTCGGCACGACAGACCGAGGCCCAAAGGTCAGGGCTCAAGGGTAAGTTCTGTGCCAGGTCAGTTCCCATGCATCCTTCCGTCCCGAATACTCCCCAGCTCTAAAAGCCGCATCTTCTTTAAACTGACTCCCCAAGGGCGGACCACGTCTTCAAAAGGCATGGTATCCCTTTAAGGTGCAAATGAATAACTTAGATTTTAAATTATTGCGCATAGTTTGGGTTCTTTCTCCTATTCTAAATCATTCTCCATAAACTATCCAACAAGGCGTTTTATGTGCTCTAGTCGCTAAGCTCCTTAAACCAGATCCAAGAGCAGCCAGTTAAAATCAATGTCTCGATTCTAACATGTTTTAATTGGATTTTCTAAAAGTTCCACTTCAAGAACTCTCAAGTACATAACCTTAGCAAAGCAATTCTCCACTGTTAGGCATCTAATCTTCAGCTCAGAATCAGCGCAACTCAAGATAAGAAGTTTGGCGTCCTCATGAATTACACCAGGGTTTCAGAAACCAGGGCACGCAGACCAAATTCAACCCTGCGCCTGCTTTTGCACAGGCCACAGCCTGAGAACAGTGTTTACATACCCCAGTGTTTTTCTTTTCATTAAAGGAAGAATGATAATGTCTCGTGAAAGGTAAAAATAGATGAAATGCAAATTCCGTGTCTGTAAATAAAGTTTTATTGGAACACAACATGCCTATTAATTTACGGGCTGCCTGGCTGCTTCGGCACCACAACGGCAGAGTTGAGTCGTGGCAGCCGAGACCGTGTGGCTCATAGACTCTACAATTAGTATCTGGACCAGTACAGAGAAAGCTTGCTGAGCTCCAGTTTAAACAAACAGTGTGGGTTTTCTAGGATGTCTATCATCAATGAACCATAAGAATTCTTTTATACATGCATCATAAATCAGTCTATACACACACACAAACACACAAAAGACATGGAGAAAGAGAGAGAGAATGAGAGAGAAGGAAGGGTACAGTGGCAACTATACATGAAGGGCTCACTGGTGTTTGCTGTAGCATTCTCTCAACCTTCACGCAATTTAAAACTTCTCAAAACAAAACGTTGGGGTGGGTCAGAGGAAGAAGGACCTGAGAGGCGCATAGACAGGAGAAATCTAAGTTGCCGCCCAGACTTTCCCGGATGCCAGAGACGGTGCTGGCGGTGGTGAGCGAGACAGTCTACAAGTTTCCCAGGACAGTGTCTGCACAGAAGCCATCGGTGAGAGCAGCTGCATTTTTGTTATTGTCCGTCACTGAGAACTAGGGACGCAGAGGACATCGGAGAGGGCGAGAGTGTCCCACGTTCAGTGCGAGGGAAGGGGGTTTGGGGCGCCCAGGAACACACCCATCTAGACAGAGCAGCCAGACACCCCAATCTGGAATGCAGAGAGGTCAGGCCTGGGAACATTCTAGAATCTGAATGTTGAGAAACTGTTCATAGAACAAGATGATACTGGGCATGGAAGGGAAGAGAAAAGAAGTTACAATAGTATGTATACTTGATATATTTATTGTTATTTTTAAAAATATCTGAGATGAGGAAGACGTATATTCTTTGAAAGTCAGTTAAAATTCAGATGTTAGCAAGTCATTACTAGCAAAACTATGAGAAATTATACTTGTCATCAATTTTAATGATGAGGACTGCTATCAAAACAATTGCTACCGTTAATTTACAAGCCAATTTTTTTAAAAAGGTATAATTTAGGTTATTTAATCAATACTCATGACATATCTTCAGCATTTAAATTTACATCAAATCCTCAGAAGACATAGCAGGTCACAGAAATATCCTAAAAATTTAAAAATAACCAAAAATAGAAATAACCACTGTAAAAATACTTCTGAGGACGATTTATTTAGGCTGACAGGTGTACAGATGATTGGAATCATTAAATAGGACTGCTCTGGAAATCAACTGCACCTGTACAATTAAGTCTTCTTCCTAAACACTTCTGATGAGTACTATACCAGAAACACAAGTAAGATAAATACACCCTGAATTAGAGATAAACGCTTTTATGCCTACAACTTAGAACACAGCTAACTGGTCTACCCGCGGGCCCCTCCTCACCGCACAGGGAGCGACACCGGGTCTCCTCCCCCTGCTGGCAGACTTAGCACACTGCTGCAGCAAGCTGGGCGAGCACGTGGCTGCAGGGTTTCTTATCGGAGTGACTAGGGCACGCACCTAGGTGAGGACGATGCGGCAGAGACGAACCCCGATGGAACTGCACAGGTGTTCGCCAGGTACCACTGTTAAACCCATCGGACTCAACAGCACCCCTTCCGCACGGCCAGCTCCACCCCATGCACCGTCTGTCCTTGCGCTACGGCCCCCCCACCCCATTTTATTTCGAGCCCAGCCTCACCATCCACCTGGTGCACCACACATGGCCTTTTTGCCAGGCCGCAGTTCTGGCAGGTGCCACCGGGAAGTGTGGGACATATTTGAACAACGGCATCGTCACCTGAGCAAGTGTGATGTTCCCCATAGAAGCACCTTTGAAAGGGAAAGAGTCACAATTTCTCACATGTTTTTAAAAAGCATGTGACGTGTCTCTGGTGGGTTTGAGTACGTGGTTTGTTTCACGAAGGACGCTGGGCGCCTCCTGGAACTACGCCATGAAACACAGAGGTCGGGTGCAGAGACGGCAGTGTGCCCCCCAGCAGAAGCCACACCCGGCTCCCCGGAATACTCGCCGGCAGCGTGCAAGGAGCAGTGCGATCGGCACGCACTTCGAGGGAGCGAGTTAGCTCTCCGACCCCAGCACCGGAGAGCCCGCTTTTCTCTTCTGAAACGTGGGGGTGAGTGTGAAACCCCATGGGACGAAACCCCTCCAGAACAGACCCCGCGCCTCCGCTGAGGCGCGGGCCAGAGGCTTTCTCCACCTGAGGGTATCCCCCCCCGCCCCACCCAGTGCCATCTCTGAACAGGCCCTGGCCCCCATGCTCTTGGTGGCTGTCCCACGGAAATCAGGACGCTGCAGCACCCACAGCACAAGGCTGCCGCCGGCAGAAAACCGTGGGAGCCTGCAGCACCCACTGCCCAGGGAGAGGGGCATCAGAAAACCGTGGGAGCCTGCAGCACCCACTGCCCGGGGAGAGGGGCATCAGCCACACACAGCGCCACCTCCTGCACTCAGACAAAGGTGCCAAGCCGGACGGGTGCACGCAGTTCTGCCTGACACCCCGGCCGAAGTTCCTGCTTGGGAAACGCACCCGTGACCACTGGGACAAAGACCAGAGCTCAGCCCGTGGCTGCGGGGTGCCACGTGAGAAAACCACGAGGGGCTGGAAAGCATCACAGACGACGGGGGACTCCATGCAGAAAACTTTGTTTTTAACTACACTGCCTGCTTCACTACAGAGACACAGACAGACAGAGACGGACAGAAGGACAAAGTGGCAAACCCACTGGAAGTACAACGACTAGCTTTCCTGGGGACGGCCTGCTCTCTGACGCAGGCACGGAACACCCGAAGCCGCTGTGCTCAGCCTCTGTCCTCGGCGACTCTGCCCCGCCCTTCCCGTTCCCCCGGAGGTGCAGCCGTCTGACGCTGGAACGAACAGCTAACCCGCCAGCTAACCCGCCACTGGCTGCAGCGACTCCAAGTTCAGCCCCGCGCGTGTAGGTGAGAGGTACAAACCATCCATCTGTCGTGAGAAAGCGCAAAGGACAGATAGCCTTTGCTGGGACCGCTCAGTTCCACCGCCACGGACTGGCCGTCTCGGGCGAAGGACAGGAAGACGCAGGTGCTCTCCTTCTCCGGGTCACAGGCCGCCGGGCTCCGGACACAGAACTTCTTGTTCCCACAGTCGGAGGCACTGAACTGGAAAGACGACAGGGGGAGTCTTCGTTATCGAACAGGCAGCTCCTTTCTAATGACGGGTTTAACGAGACCCCTTCTCATAACAGGATTCCAGCGCGGGACCAGAAGACACGGGCCGGATTAGAACTGACCGGGGCAGCAGTGAGGTCGTGAACTTCCAAACTCAATTAATTTTAATTAAAATCTGGAAGGCCCAGCAGTTGGACTGTAATTATGCACAAGTATTAAGGTTCCTTTAATACACAAAATATTTCACTTTAATTATGTTCCCAAGCAAAGCTGCTGGCAGATTCTGAGACACTTGTTCTTAGGGAATATTAAAGTCCACATTGGCACTCTTGCCGAGAGGGTGCCCTCTAGTTTTCAGAGGCAGAATTTTAAAAAGCAACCAAGCAAAACCTTTGCAAAATTCTATATTTAGATCTTGGACTCTGCTTCTAGAATTCAACTCAAATTTGATATTAAAATAATGTGAGAGAAAAGGGACCGACCGTCCTCTCTAACTCCTATACATGTCCCCACTCCAAACAGGAATAGCAACTTAGTGGGAAGAAACAAGAACCATCTACAGAGACTTGGTTTAGGGCCCCTTGGTCCAGCAGGGAAGAGGAAACTCAAAAACGCTGGTTCGACAATCTGACAGAGCGAACGAGCAGGCGTCTTGTTGGAATGCACCGTGAAACAGTACATGTTGGTTGACAGCCAAACATTCCTTCATGCAACCAGATTTCACATAAGAAACCGTATAGAACAGACTCATTTCTTCTTCTTTCTACCTGTACTTCTGGCCACCAAACATCAGGAGTCGGGGGTGGGGGGCTTTCCCCACAGTAAGCGCCTCTGCAGGTCTCTGCGGGTGTCCTGCAACTCGGTTCCACTCGGACAGTATCAGCCTGAAGTTAGCATCAGACCCACAGGTGATGGGCTCGTCCCACAAGTCTGCCCCACTCCAGGGGCCGTTCCCAAGTCCCGAGCTGCCCCCTGTGCTTCGGACCGGTCAGCCACAAATCGGAGGTTCCTGCGACCCCCTCCCTGGTTTGACAATGTACTAAGATGGCTCACAGACACCAGGCGAAAGGGTTGACTCACTAGATCACAGTCTGCTGCGAAAGGACACAACCCGGGACCAGCCGGGCAGAAGCAGCGGGGGAGGGGGGGGCAAGGCGTGTGGGAGGGGCACCGAGCGCCAGGCCTGCTCAGGCTCCGCCCTGCCCGCGCCTCCGGGGGTTCGTTCAGTGGCCCAGGAGCGCTCGGAAACCTGTACCGTCTGGATTTTATCACATGGGCATGAAGGATTGTAACTCAACGTTCAGCCCCTCTCACCTGTCCGGGGAGCAGTGGTTGGGACTGAAAGTTCCAAGCTTCTATTTCTCGCTTGGTCTTTCCGGTGACCAGCCCCGCTCAGGAGCCGCCCGGAGTCCCCTCATTAGAACAAAGCACGTTCCCATCACCCCGGAAATCCCAGGGGACATGGGCACTCCGTGTCCCACACTCCCCTCACTCCGAGATGCAAGGGGCTAGGAGCTCTGTGCGGGAACCAGGGCCACAGATGAGCAGGACCGAGGGCAGAGGCCAATACCTGTGCACACTTCCTGTTATCTCCCAGAAGCCCGCTGAGAACCCGGAGCAGGGCGGAGAACGAGCCGCTAGCAACCAGGAGCTGGGGCTCGGGTCTCTGCTCCGTCCATCACACCAGCACCGTCAGCCCTGCAGCAGGGGCTGGACAGGACGGACCTGCGGGCTCCTCCTGCCCCACAGGCGCCCTCACCTCATCCTGTGGCTCCGAGTGACCGCCCCCCTCCCCCCACTGAGAGACAGGACACTCGGCGCAGAGATACAACAGAAGCTCCCAGAGCGGATGCCTTGTATGTGAATACGTGGGAAAATCACAGTCTGGTCAGCAGACTCCTGCGAGGGAGCTCAGGCCCAGAGGAACCGCTCCTTCCCCTAACGCAGCTCTTAAATAACTCAACATGAAGAGTAAACAAACGAAGAAGTCGTGCAAAGAAAGGATAGATCTAAGTGCGTGGTCAAACAAAAGTACAACGTTCATAATAACACAATCACATCTCATTCTCATCTGTTGTAAAATGCAGAAGAAGAGGAAAACAGAAAGGTGTTACAGAGAAGTGCGAGTGTTTCACTTGGCCTTCCCAAAGGAACAGGGAGTTAGGACAAGATAAGGGAAAGAGAAGGAAAAAGGAACCAATGTTTATTGAATACCCACTTAGTGCAGAGTGGTTAGAAACCACTACATTCCACTACATTGTTCAGTTCTCCCAGTGATGCTAGCTAAGTTAGGTGTTATTCTCGTTTCACAGGCGAAAAAGCTGAGACTTGAAGAATTCAGTCATTTGCCCAAAGCCACACACAGAGCAGACAGGTCAGGGCTCAGGCCGTGAAGACCTGCCTTGAGGCACTTTCCAGTAGGTCAGCTTCGGAAGGAGTAAGCCCAGTGTATCAGGGCTGCCTCCGATAAACCCCTTCTGTTTCTAATGATCACCCCCCTTTGCAGGATCTGCTTCCTCCAGCGTGACTCCTCTGACCCAGGGGCCAACGTGCAGTGCCCGCTGACCAGCCAGCAGGGGTCCCCGAGCTCCAGCCCGGAGAGTTCCCGGGGACTCGAGGGCCTTCCTGAACTAAGTCGGTGCTCCAAGCCCTGGCTGGCTTAGCTCAGTGGATTGAGCGTGGGCTGTGAACCAAAGTGTTGTGGGTTCAGTTCCCAGTCAGGGCACATGCCTGGGTTGCAGGGCACAGCCCCCAGCAACCGCACATTGATGTTTCTCTCTCTCTCTCTCTCTCTTTCTCCCTCCCTTCACTCTCTGAAAATAAATAAATAAATAAAATCTTAAAAAAAAAAAAAAGACGGTGCTCCAAATCTTGCCTAAAAGTAGCTTAAGCTTCAAGCTCCCTCTCCACGTTTGATATTTGGTGGGAGAGAGAAAGAGAGAGAGCAGGAGGGAGGGAATTCTGGCTGCGCTTCACCAGACTCATTTTCGGAGGAAAACACGCCCACCGCTGGGAGACACTGGGCGTCAATGCCACGACCATGGCTTGCGCGTGCAGGGTCCCGCACCCCCTCTACCCTGACCGGCACGTCGCCAGGTGGCAGTGACGGCTCCCTCAGAGTTCCCACGGAGAACCCGAAAGGCGGCCGCCCCGCCCCGCACGGCTGGGTCCACTACAGCCGGCCCGCACTTCGCCGAGCCCAGAACACGATTTCCGGGGAGCCCCCCCACCCCAGGCTGCACTCAGAGAAACCGTCAAGGCTACTTACTCTCTTGGTTAAGTGGGAGACGGGAGGAAAGGTGGACAAAGGTGCTGCCGTGGGTTCAGGTGTTGAGAAGGGAGGTGCGTTGGGCTGGGAAACCACAGGACTAGGAATCTTCACCCAGTAGGTTTTGTACTTCTGCACAACCGTGGCTCTGAAATGCAGTACCAGGGAGGTCAGACGGAGCCCCGGTCGGGGCCACCACAGTGGAAGCAAAACTTCGAAGGGGAAAAAAGGAATGAAAGAGGGACACACGACCTAGCAGTGTAGCTTAACAAACCCCTGGTGACTCCCTCCCCTCCCCCCTCCCCCCTCTCCCTCCCCCTCCCCCCTCTTCCTCTCTTCTCCATCTAGTTTCGAGGGCATGCTCCTGACGCCAGACCCAAAGACTGAACCTCACGGATTCCCCCGACGTGTGAAGCCTACCGCGGCTCACGCTTCTCGCCATGCTCTGTTCAGAGGGCAGGGGTGCCAGGCCACCAGGGCAAGAGGCTACACAGAGGCTGCAGAAGCCACCGTCAGCTGTGACTGGGTGACACCCCTTCTTTGCAGGTCCCACGACCCACAGGGGCACAGCCGAGTTACCGAGCGCTGGGACCTCGTCCACAAAGCGGAGCAGGAAATGGAACCGTGTCGAGAGGGCAACGGCACGGCAGCCCTCGGGAGCCATTCATCCTGGGACAGGACTGAGCTCCGCTAGGGTTAAGGGACAAGTGTCTGACAATCTAGTCTGCAATGTATGACGCTGCACAAAAGTCACCCGGGTTTCAGGACAATTTTCCTTTTCTTCCTATTCTCATACCAAGGCGGGAGCAAATCAATACAAGTTGTAGCCCAGCTCCCTACAGACTCAAGGATTATCACGGTGGCTCCTACGATGTGACAGAAAGATGGTGCTTCCTTTGCCCAATTGAAGCGCCTCCTAGGAGGGGCCTGTGCCAGGTGCTGGGGGCGCACGGGTGGAAACACAGAATGAGCAGGACCCCTGCTTACACCGCGGAGGGGCCGCTGGAGCCACACCGAACCTCCCCCGCCCAGGAGAGTGTCCAGCAGGTACAAAAACACAACTCAGCCCCTTATCGCGTCAGCCGTCCCAGTTCCAAAGCTTCTGACTCTGCCTTCCACTCACAGAAACTGGATGTGGTTCGGGGCGCTCTGGGGGGCGTTCCACCAGACTTTAATCTCTGTCTTCTTGTGTGCGTTTGTGTGGCTCACCGCCGACCCCTGAAACGAGATGGAAAAGGACCGCCAGTCAGTCGCGTGACAGCTCAAGCTCAGCGGGGCTGGAACCACTGCCGTCTGGTGCAAGGAATTTACTTCTGCACGACCTTGACATGCTGGCAAAGGCCATTCTGTTTAGAAGTGGGACTCACGTACTCCTGCCGACCGGTTACGACCAGCTTAGCAGCGGGGCCCTGGGACTAGATCTGAGTCAGCAGAAATTCAAGAGCTGAAGAGAGTTATGAATGCTGGGTGCGTTCATGCTCTGTAGACTTCCCTGTTGTTTCGTTTATGCTATAAAGTTATGCTCCCTCCATCGATACACACAAATAGTGTGCAGGAGAGTCATCAAGAGAAAAAGTTCTTGCCTCCAAAGACGCAGTGATTACATTTCCGGAATCACTTCCTCTTGAACAACCTTATCTCCCGCGTTCATCCACCTGGCGGCTTCCTACTCCTTCCGTGTGGCCCAGCTTTGGGGTCCCCTCCTCCAGGAAGCTCACCTTCCATCCCCTCGGGTGCGTGTGCGGCACCCCAGCCCGCTTCCCATCCTGGGGGTGCTTCTAATGAAGGCACCGCACTGCTCTACTCAGGAGTCGGCCCCCTGTCCGTGCTCCACCCGTGTGCCACACGTCACGCACACACCTGCCTCACTTACGTGAAAGGCTAGGAGCTCTTCCCGAAACGAGAGGAAGTGTGGTGCATCACCCTATCCCTTGCAGCCAGGACCGTTTCTGGCATAATAAGTGTTTAGGACACGAATGAAGGACGAAAATGATAGATTTCTGTCCCTCTGTACAACTCGGCCAGCAACACGGAAACACCCTTCAAACACCAGTATCGGAAGGGTCGGCGTTATATAAAATATCGAGAGCTACACACTCGATATTTCTAGCTACGGCCCTGCCTTTCTCACGGCGCCGGTGTGCGCAAACGCGTTGCCCGCAGGGGCAGGAGAGGGCAGGCTGGCCCGCTGCGAACCTGCTTAGGCGTCCACTGCGCGTGGGCAAGGGCGCCCCTACCCGGCAAACGCCACCCCGTTGCTAAGAGACCCGTGGACACCGACAGAGGTCAGTCTCACGCCGAGCACCCACCTCTCTGTCTTCGCAGGTCAGGAGCTGGGACGCGTCGCTGTCAATCAAAGTGAAGGAGCCAATAGGAGGGCCGCTCAAATGCTCCGCGTCCCGCGCCTCCAGGAGAAAGCCTTTGAACTCCGGCCCGGACAGCGTCACTGAGGCACGGACAGACGACAGGGCAGGGTGAGCGGTGAGGGGGTGTTCCCGAAAGCAGACCGTGCAGCGGAGGCGCGCGCGAGTCAGAACCGGGAGTTCCAACCCAAAGCTGCCCCGGACAGAAAGCAGTAAAAGGCGTGCTCTACACAGTGTTCTGAGCTAGGTTCCACCCGGGACCCGGCTCCGGCAGACGTCAGAGCCCGTCCGCAGGGGACCCGAGGCAGCAGGCGGGGGTCAGGGGCTGGCCCCTGAGGCCAGAGCAGCTTGGAAAGGGCTGGGTGAAAGTATCTGTTTCTTTGCTGCCGATCCTTAGGCCTTTAACAGCCGGACCGTGCAGGGCGAACCTCTAAGGGGCATCATGTATGTAACACAAAGTGCACCTTGCGTGTACTCCTTGGGTCAGAGAGTACCTACAAAGTCTGCATTTCTAGAACTGCAGAAAATGGAGTTTTTAAAACATTATTACAGATACACCTTTCACCGCCAGCCTGCAGTCTGCCGAAAGAATGGGGATGACAAAAGAGATTACACCGAGGGAAGAAAGATAAGAGTTCCCCAAAGAGGGAGGAAAACAGGAAGATAAGGGCTTATTATAGCTCACACCACATAAAGGAAACTTGATTTTCTTTCCTATTGAGTCGAAAGTATTGTTAGCAAACACATTTTAAAACCCGTCCCGGACCAGGAGTGGGCGAACTTCTGACGGAATACGGTGGGTCCTTGGCGGTGGCCCCACGCAAAATCGGTGAGTGCGAGGCTGACAAGGGGCATCTGACCGACAGGGGACGGGGGGTTGACCAGAACCGTGCCACGCCAGCAGCAGTGACAATTCACCCCGCGGGGAAAGACTGAAACGGAAACAGCAGCCGGGAGCCCAGCCGGTACCTTCCAGGTGGTCCCCCGGTGCGAACGTGGCCTGGCTCACGGCGACGCTGTGCACGGGATCGGGGCGCGGGGTGTGGCCGTGCCGAGGAACCATGTTGTGGCAGGACTCGGTGACTTTTCCGTTGGGGTAAGGAGCCACAGTGGCCACGAGCAGCAGGAGGAGGACGGCGCCAACCGCAAGTCCCGGCACGGCCATCTCCGGAAGGAGAGGGAGAGCGCGTCAGGGTCAGGTGGCACTGAAACAGGACAGGCAGCCTCCGTGCCACCGGGCGGCAGCTCTGGAGAACCACCGCCTGCTCCCAGCAGCCGGCGAGCCAGATGCTCCCGCAGGGGTCACGAAAGGCACCCGCCGGGTGAAGTCTGACCCGGGTTCGGGGCTCTGCTCTCTCCCCACGGCCCACTGTGGGCCTTCACGCACGTCTGCTGAAAGCCTCCACTTCCTCTACAGGGACCATCTTTTCCATGTTACTTTTGTAATCCTCACTTGAGGATTTTTCTATTATTATTATTATTCACTTCGGAGAGACAGAGGAAGCAGTTGCAAGAAAAGAACAGCCACGGGAGAGAGAAGCAGCCATCAGCTGCCTCCGTGACGTGCCCCCAACCTGGACCGCACCGGAGACCCTTTGCCGCGTGGGGGCGACGCTGCAACCCAGTGAGCCGCCCGGCCAGGGCGTGTCCCGGTTCTGTTGCACAACCGGTGACATGCCTTTTGGCAGATTCCTGGAGGCGGCGAATGAGCCCCACTTGGATGCCGTTTTGCAACAGCGAGCAGACCACACTGGGAATAGCGCCGGTAAGGCTTGTCGGGGCTCATCCCTTGAAGCAACACCACCCCTGAAACGTCTGGCTCAGGGTCGTGGACAAACCACGGGCCGATTTTAGTCTCCGGTCCCTGCGCCGTCTGAGTGCAGGTCACCACCTCCTCCCCCCCCCTTTTTTTTTTTAATTCAGAGGAAAAAGAAAATGTCTGAACAGAATCCTGTAGCTTCGCAGGGAAATGCTCCTGATAAACTCCTTTACAAACTGAAAAATCCCCGTTGCCCCCAGGGCAGCACGCAAAAAATGAAGGGCGGGGGCTCTGGGAAAATCTAAAGGCGCACCAGGGGCGGGGGTGGGTGGAAGCTAAAAGTTCTACCTTGAAAGACACTTTAAAAACCAAGTAAGCCTCCAAGTAACCTTCCTACAAGTAATTATGTCGTTCTGTGTAAATATAAAAGAGGGTTCCCATAGTTTAAATTAAAAAAAATAAAATAAATAACCACAGCTATGCCTCCATAAAGTCACTGCTCCTCGGGATGGCCCTCTCGCTGGGGCCACAGCTCCTCAGTCAAAGTCACAGGGACAAGTTCTGACTGCACTCCCTACAGAGCGTGGGTGAGCGCCCTACAGGCTGCGGAGCGAGGTCTGCTAATCCAGCGGCCGTCCCGTGTCGCGGACGGCCCTCCCCCCCCCCCACCACCCCCCCCCCGCCAGCCCCGTCAGCCCCCTGCTGTCACTGAGCTAGATCCAATTTTTAAACGCTTCGCTTTGCAAAGAGCTCTGACAAGAGAACTGAAAGAAACGCTTACCTTGAGAAGCAAGACAGCCGGCCAACTTCCGGTCCTGTTACAACTTGTATCACATTTCAGCAGCTGGGTGGAGCCAGTTTGTCCCGCCGCCAGAGGGAACTTCTCCCAAAGGGAGGAGCGGCCGGACTCGATTTGCAAGGCCAGGACTGGGTGCTCTTTGAAAGCTCCAGTTCTGAGAACTGAGTGTTCTGTTTTACGCAAGTGAACGATTTTTGGCAACTGGTAGTCTGTTTTTTTTCTGAGAAAATGGTGTTTTTGTCTTTCACTACGAAAGCATTTGAAAATATGCTCTAGAACGCTAAGACACACAAAAGAACCTACTTGCCACTAGGTAGGGTGGCCAGACTTAGCAAATTAAAATCCAAGGTACCTGATGAAATTTGAATTGGTGCAGACTTATCCTAAAAACTGATTTCAATGTACCCTGGGCGTCCTGCACTTTATCTGGCAACTCCCAGTAGGAAATCAGAGTAAATACAATAGCAAACTATTTTAATGAACTACCAAAGACCTAAGGAGATCAGACTGCAAAGAACTGAAACTTTTGAAAGCGTGAATATTGGTGCAGAGCTCCAGAATTATTTTATTTTGGAAACTTTATGCTGAAATGTAGGAGTTTTGTTTCTTTTTAAGCCTTTAATCTTGATTTTCACAAGATTCTTTTGCAAAAATAAAAATAAAATGAAAGGGCAGTGTACCTGCAGATATTGAACTCGGCCTCAGATGGTGACCACCAACGGTCAGCCTGGAGGGTGGCCCCCCGGCTGACAACCTGCAGTAGTCAATTCTCTCAACCACTCTTCTCTCTTTTTTTTTTCAGTGTATTTTATTGAGGAGATAAGAGAGGTGGAAAACACCACCATGTTCATCTTTCTCCTTAGGAACGAGTCCCCACGAACAAAAGCCCCTCTACAGGAGTTTTGAGAGACTTCCAAGAACAGTGAGGCACCTCGACAGACGGAAGGAACTCAGCTGACCCTCAGGCCCCGGTGCAGAGCCTTGCAGAGCCTCCGGTGGTGACAGAGCTTCTGCCGCTATAATTAGACCCTTTCCAGGAAGAGTCTCCAAGGAGGGGACACCGTGAGCCAAAAGCACAATAAAAAAAAAAAGTCCATAACAAATAACTCTCAGAAAAGGTGATCATAACCTTTCATCCTAAAGTGCCCTCAGGACGCAGCAGGGCCTGCGGAGGGACTGAACTGTAGCTGTTCGCAAGCCCCCTCGATTCCTCCCTCCACCCCAACCCCAAGCCAGGCTCCGCCTTTCCCTGAAGGCCCCCTCCCCCTCCCTCCCAAAGCTCACCTCTGCCGGCTCCGGCCTCCTGGGCTACCGTGTGTCAGCTGTCAGAAAAGAAACCAAACTCATTAGCACGGTCAACGCAGTGTGGACTCTGAGAAGCTGACCCTCCCGGACCATGGGAACTCAGTCTTATATTTACACAGACTGACATAATTGCCTGTATGACGGTTACTTGGAGGCTTACCTGGTTTTCAAAGTGTCTTTCAAGGTAGAAATTTTAGCTTCCACCCACCCCCGCCCCTGGAGTGCCTTCAGATTTTCCCAGAGCCTCCGCCCTTCATTTTTTGCATCTTGTCATCTGCCCTAGGAGCAGTGGGGGTTTTCAGTTCGTAAAGGAGTTTATCGGGAGCATCTCCTTGCAAAGTGAAACGTTTCCCTTCAGAAATTTTCTTTTTCCTCTGAATTAAAAAAAAAAGGGGGGGATTGCGAGCCCTGCACTCAGACAGTGCGGAGACGGCTTGCCCGACCTCTGAACTGGCTGTCCACAAATGTCTGGGTCTCAGGACCACGTTACAACTCTCACACACTGTCGCAAACCCCCAGAGACTTTTGTTTACGTGGGTAATACATGGCCATAGCTATCGTACTAAAAATCAAAACAGAAATGTTTAAATTCTCATTCACAAATTCATTTTTTAAATGAAAAACAAAGTCGTTGCATGTTAACGTAACACCTTTCACTCTGGCTGTTGTGATTGTTGTAGAAAATAAGAAGTTAGTGAGAAGAGTAGCGCTGTTTACGTTTTTGTGCGTCTCTTCACTGCCTGGCTTCCTGCAAGGCAGCTGAATTCCCATACCCGCCTCCTTATTCAATCTGCTCTTACCTCCCGAACCCAGGTGCCCGCTGGAAAAACTCCCCCGTGCACTCGCGAGAGACTGAGGGTGAATAAGGCGACTAAAGTGTAGCAAGAACAATCATTCCCGTCTACTAAGCACCTTGACCTAGACACGTGTGTTACGCTGAGTCGCACAGTGAGTCCAAGCGAAAGGCGTCACTGGGGACGTCCTATGGGCGAGGACGCTGAGGGGGCGCGTGGCCCAGTGCGCTGCCCGGAGGCAGGCAGAGCAGAGGGGCAGACAGGGTTCTAAGCCAGCTCTACCAGCGCCCCCACTGAACCCCACTGCCAAGTCCGAATGAGGTCTAACGGGCCAGACCACAAACGTCCCTTTCCCACCACACTCAGCGCTTCACAACAGACTACGTTCAAGGAGGAGAGCATCCCCAGCGGAGAAGGCCCTGCTCCGGCTCAGGAAGTCCAAGCCCAACCCCCGCAACAGTCTCGTCCTCCCTGGGCCTGTAACTGCGTCCCTGTCACCCGAACAGCCAAATGCACCCCCCACCCACCCACCCACCCAGCTCCTCTGCCGTCCTCCGGCTCATGTGCCCATCAGGTCTCCCCTGGGCCATAGTCCCCACCTACTCAGGGCCTCCAGCTGCCCATCAACCTCACTCGCTCTCATGTTAATCTCCCTGCAGGACAAGTCACCGCATGCACTTCTCCTGCCCAGACAATCTTCACTCACTGCCTGTCGCTGAATGAATGAATGTCCAGATTCCAGAGGGTCGAGTGAAAAAATAGCTATAAAACACGATACGTAGCACAAAGGTAAGTATTTAATAAGTAGTAGTTAAAAGAAAAAAAAAGTTGTAAGGGTTGCTTTGTCCGTTAAAGGCCGCAGCAGCTCCCCAGGGCTACAAATAATCCATCGTTCCAAAGTCACCCAGAGTCTTCTCACCAAACTCTGTGCACAAAGTCCGCACCCCACACCGAGGCCTCTGACAGCGCCATCCCCAGCTTCAGATCAGTGGCGGCGGCGTGCTCCACGTTTCTCTCCCCCGCCAGTTCAAGGGCACTTGAAGGAACAAAGCCTGTTCCTTAAATTACTCAGCGCAGTGTGACTTCCCCGTGATGCCGGGTCCTGGGGGCGTTTGCACGCACGTCACCCACACCCCCAGCGACAGCTGCCCCGCGTCTTCTAAACGGCAAAGGGCATCGTTCCTGAGACTCACCGAGACACAGTCAGTCTCTCCAGGAGTATTTCGTGGTTCCCCATCGTTGCCGCGTGCTGTAGAAGCCGGCGGAGCGGCTCCGAAGTCCTTCGCTCCCGTGCAAATGCACGGCGGGCGGCTCTGCCTTTGGGGGAACAGGACGCCGCCCTCGGTTAACTCCCACGCGCGCTGTGGCTCCGCTGGGACAGGCCACCCCGCTCACTGCAGAGTGCGTGCAGCTCCTGGCCGCAGCGTCACACACCAGGGCCCCTCCCCGCCCGTCGTGGGGGTCAGACAACGCCACCACCCGTCCCCAGAGTGGCGGCGGGAAGCAGAAACGATGCCTCCATCATCCACTGTGTACGGCTGTGATTACAGGCACGATCCTGGGTCCCGACGGCATGAAGTGCTTTGCTTTCTAGAAAATTCCAGGAGGGCGAAGAGCGGGCGCGCTGCCCCTTGCTGGGGGAGACCGGCGCTGCGCCTTCGAGCTGACAGAGGGACGCGGCAGGCGCCTGGCTCACGGGGGCCGTGACGAGGGACACAGTGAGAGGAGCGCCGTCCGCCTGGCCGAGCCACTGTCCTCCCCGTCCCTGTCACCGCGGGGCGCACGGTGGGAGCTGCCGCCGCCACAGCGGCCAGCTCCCCGAGGTCCCGGGCCGAACTCCGAGTGCAGGCTTCTGACGGGCAGGAAGGAGCGCAAAACGGGCCGGAAACCCCTGGGCTTTCAGAAGAGGGGCCACTCTTTAAAACAAGAATGACCACAGTCAGTCTGCGCACATCCTGTCAAGCGCCCGCTCTGCGGCGAAGACCGCGCTAGGCACTGACTTACGTGGGTGACGAGCGGCGCCAGAGCTCCTCTCTGCAGCGTCGCATCTGAGGCGGAGATAGAGGGACAGATGGACAGACAGACAGGGTAGGAGCCCCGTTCTTCACCCGGTAAGCGCAGGCCTGCAGACGCACAGCCCTCCCCGCTCTCCGGACACCGGGCTGAGCTTGCCCTCACCCCCACCGGGGGACACAGACAGTGCCCGCCCCGCCGTGCCCCGGAGTGGAAGGCAGGAGCAAAGGCCGGCAGGTGCAGGAAGCCTGAAGGCAAACCCCAAAGGCGAGACCCCGCCGAGGCCGAGACAGGAAAGCCGGAGGTGGGCCCTCCCGAAATGAACAGGGAAACGCGGGCTGCGCCCTGAGCCCCGGAGTGAGAGCGAGGGCCAGATGCACCGGAACCCCTCGGGGCAGGGCCTGGCTGGCCAGGCTGGTCAGGGCTCCCCAGGGTCCCCAGAAGAGGCCCGTCCCGTCGTGTCACTTCTGCCGCCCTCCACTGGTCACAAGCTAGTCACAGGTCCCCCCACACTCCAAGTGCAGGGGTCACACGGGCGTGACTCCCAGGAAACAGATCACCGGGACTGTGTTTGGGCCTCTCTGACTCACCGTGACTTGTCAGACACGCGGACCTGCTTCAGCACAGGGCAGCACCACGGAGAAAAGCAGCTCCAGGCGGAACCCCACCGTGAGCCTGAGGGCACGGGGCACCACAGGGGACTCGGGAGACGACCAGGGGCTGAAGAGTTAGTTCTCCGCCTGTCGGCTGAGAACCAGCCCGAACAGCGCTCACGTTTGCACGCAGTAATCGCTGGCGTCCACTGGGTGGCAGCAGCTGCCAGGACACGAAGTGTGACACCCTCAGGCTCCAGAAGAGTTCCTTCGAGTTCCCGCATTGCAACCCACTGTGTTTCCCTCCCGAAACTCCTAAGACGGTAGGAAGGGCTTCGGGGAGGGCGGGGAAGGCCTCCAGAAACACTTGGGGAGATGTCTCCTACCAAGCACCAGCAGCCGAATGTTCCGGAGCTCCGTGACAGTCAAACAGTGCCGTACTTGGTCTGGTGGGAAGCCAGCCTGGTGCAGAGTTGACATGCCTGGGGGAGCCCCAGAGGGTGGCGGGACAGGGGGGCAGGACGTGTCAGATACAAGGGGGAATATTGTCTCTACAGACAGGAGATGTGAAGGAGAAAGGCTTAGCGTCCCGTGCACGGTCCACACACACGCACACGCACACGCACACACCCCTGCTGCACAGACATTCACAGCTGGCAGCACCCAGTCCGAGGGGGTAGATCCGATACCACTGAAACAGCAGAAAGCTCTGCAGACTGGGAAGCTCCAGGGAACGTGTCATCATCCGAGAAGCGTTATTATCTGCGTTTAGGTGTCAACTCAGACACGGTCATAAAGCCCCTCCAGTTACACCGTCTGAATAGCCGCACCCAGGGAGGGGGTGTCGGGCAGTGACGGGCTGTCCCACGAGGGCAGCTTGGTTTGTTCAAGCGAAAAGGCCTCACAGCGTTGCGCTCTTCCTCTGGGTCACAGAACGTTCTCCTCTGCTAACAAGCGTGAGACGCGCCCGAGCAACGCTGAACGGCCAGGTTCCGTTGTGCCGGAGCGGCAAGGCTCACAGCCAGCGAGTCCCTCTCTCCTTTCAGGAAGTGGCCACACTGCCCTCCGGGCCACGCAGCTAGAACGCCAACTACTTTGACATCGCTGCCGGCCCGGCGCCCCCAGAGTGCCTGCAGGCCCTGAGAGGGGCTCTCACCCAGTCCCGGGGGGTTTCACACCACATACAATATCAGGGTCCCGGGCCTCCGCACCGCACCCGGACTCCTACATCCAACTGCACCACAGCGATCCAGCGAGGTAAGTGGGGTTCAGCGTCCCCGAAGTCGCTGGTAACCTTAACGGGAGCTGTGGGGACAGAGCAGTGATTCCCGATTGGAGTCAGCGTCTCCACGGAGCAGCCGTTTGGCAACGCCTGCCGACATGTCTGGTTGCCACAGCGGGCTGCAGGGCTGCAGACGCCACAGACAAGACAGGAGGGGGAGGGAGTGGAGTCTTAGCTGGGCAAGGGGGGACGTGAATAAGGGAGACAGACGCGTGGGAAGAAAAGGCGCGAGTTAACAAACGTATATAGGAAATAAACCTTATCCAGGGCAAAACGTGAGTATGGCCAGTGACTCCAGTCTGCGTTACACGTCTGCAAACTAAGGTATGAATGCCACAAGGCAGGGTACGCAGAGCAAAGCTTCGGCGTCAATGAGTGCGTGGTGTAGCACGGGTCCCTTGGCGGTGGCCGTCCGGGGCTCACCAGCGCTCAGGG